GTTTATGAAGAAATTCTTATTTTTTAAGGCCAAGAAGCTATAAAATGTAAATTACTAATTCTGAACCGAACCTTTGCAACTGAATGATGAAATATGTTTTACATATTTAGTTTAAGACTTATTTTCTTTGAAGAAATCGGTTTGGGGTAGTCCTGGTTTTATCTGTTTGGTTGTTTGGACGTACGTCTTGGTTTATCAAGTTCTAAACAACATCTTTGGACACGATTCTCCAAGATAAAGAAAGACCTTTTATATTCTTGCGAAATTGAAAACCGAAGAGTCGTATTGTCTTATTTGCAGTCTGCATGTCATTTACTCAACTACTACATGGCGCATGCCATGGTACCATCTGGCCATCAATATAAAGCGACAAAACCCTATCCATATCCAATAGAAAACTCTGCATACAGTAGAGTCGATTGTACAATTCATACTTTGTCATGAGCATCTGTTTATGAATCACTATCAAATAGTAATGATGACAGGTGTTTACATATGGCCATCTCCTTTACAAACAGCGCTACGACTGTTGAACAAAACGTACTGTCATGTGTAAAAAATTCCCTTTTGGATTATTATCTTTTTTATGGATTTGGACCAATTGTCGTCTGTATAAAGTTATAATTGGTGACATATATTGTCGTAAAATCTATATCATGGTTTGCTTAGCATCTTTTTTGGATAGTAATAAACGATTTATAGAAGCAGTCAAATACTAGTATCTTGTCTTTGAAAGGCATTTAGAAGTGATACACATAAGGAAGAGAATATATGGAAGTCAACTTCTTTATTATGAGCAACACAACGTTTCGGAGTTTCAAATATTTTGTCTGAAAATATAGCAAACGCCATGTTCAGCCTACACATGAAGACCCGTAATGTGACTTTCCCATTAGACTGCTATTTATCTGGATTTTATGCAATTGTCGTCCATATACTGTTATATGGTGGCATGGCATGGGGATATGTTAACCTAACTTTCATAGAAAGGGTTCATCTAAGATTGCTTTAATTAGGTACTGGGATAAAAAACCTAATCCGAAATATGTCGTATCTTGAATCGGGCTGATAACCTCTAAATAGTAAAGGTTATAAACGTGTTCTTTCCTTTCGAGGTATGCTTGCTTCTACAGAAGAGGATCATAAACCGTCCCAAAATACGTTACAAATACATGCATACTATCCATAAAGAATATCCCATGGTTAGAATTTATTAAGAAAGTATTAGATGACTGCGGTCTTTCATATGTACTTCAAAACCAATAGGTATGTTCCAAGCCTTGGCTGGCATCAATGGTTGACTATATATATCTGAGTTCCTTCTTAACTGGAAATCCACTGCTGAATCAGTCCCAAAGGATCGAACTACAAGTATCTGAAGAATCAACTTTCATTTGAGACATATTTGCTCTCAAAATTAATAATTTTTCTCCATTAAATAAAATGAGAAGCACTAATCATCTAGATTACCCGTTGAAACTGGTCGATGGCTGAAAATTCCCAGAGAAGAACATCAGTGTCCAATCTGTGATTCAATAGCTTTGGGAGATGAGTTCCATTATTTATTTAGATATGAGCTGTTATAATAGTTTAAGTTTCCAAATCTGTTCAAATTTAAGAAACGTATGACCACTTACAATGTAAGAGATCTAAAAGGTCTCTCTAAATTCCTTAATCATGTGTACAAGACATCTAGTAAAATTATATGTATCTACGTATTATATTTTTATTACTGTTTTTTTATAATGCTGCCACTTTGTATAAAAACAAAATGTATATAATTGTATCTCATGTACAGCCGTGGGCGGATTTCCTAGACCTTTTAGTAATTGCATTAGAATGTACATTGCAATCTCGTCTTTGAAAACTTTGACAGAGTGAAATACTTAATCAACCAACAAGGAATCTGAGATGTCATTTATTGCACGAAACGACATTTCTTTGTGAATTAAAGGACAAACTACTTTGCTGATGATTACAAGATATATGTTGAATTGTTTGATAGGCATTACTTAGAAGTTGATGGATGACAAAGTAAACACAATTTAGGCGACATTTTTTTTATTTCTTGGTTTACAGATTTCAAACTCATTTTAAAAGTGAGGTAGGACAATTAAAAAAAATCCTCAGAGAATTTTTTACTTGAATTTTGTCCTTAAAAGTTAGGTAAGTATAAAAAAAATATTCTGGAGTAAGAGAATTAAAAAACCTCAATTTTTCAAGAACATTTTCCCTGGCACTCAGGGGTGGAAATGCATGAAAGACGCTGCTACTCTGGCAGCATGGGCGACGTTTAACTCTTTCAACACCAGCCAACCAGAAGATTATAGCTATGACAAACTAGTTCCCAGAGACTCTTGTGTAATAGATGAAGCCAACATTTATCAAGGAAATTATCTGCTTGTAAAACATCTTTGCTACTACATGTTTGGCTATACACTATTTGAAAGGTCTACTTAATCTTATTGTTTATAAATAGGAAAGCTATGTCTATTACATTATTTAATTTATTCATTAACAACTTAATAAAGTTCGTTATTAAAATAATAATAATGTTACCTAAAGCATTCATAACGTCCAGATTAAGGACCACTGAAGCGAAAATTTCACGATTTTCGGCAAATATAAGATTTCATAAAATCCAATTACCTATTTTTTTAAATTTTCATTTGTTTACGTAGTCGGAAGATTATTTTAAAAAGAATGAAACTAAAATCTGTCATTACCCTTTGGTAACTGTGATCGGTATGACGTTACAACCGAATGGTTCTTTTCAACTCGTTTAAAATTACAGACTTAAACCCATGACGATAAATGAATTATTAATTGAAATCAAATTACACCTCATATCAATACATGCAGAAATTAAAGTCTTGAAGCCCGGAGGGGTGGTGAGGCAGTCCAAAAGTGTAAGCTTTCGCTCTTCGCTAGGGCCCGGGTTCGAATTACAACATGGGTAAATTGTGTGAAGATCCATTCTGGTGTCCCGCGCCGTTATCTTTGTTAAGGACAGGGACCGTCAGAGCATGTCGTTGTATCAGTGTTTATTTCCAGTTCGACATTTTAGATTGGCCAGCTACCTTCTTCATTTTACCTTATCTCTGTGAAGGACAGAGACCGTCCGAGCAAGTCGTTGTATCAGTATTATTTGCAGTCCGACATTTTAGATTTTATTAGTCTGTACCGCATACAATGTTTTAACAGAAGAATACACCCCTGAATACTATCATACCGTAACATATTATATGCCATTCATTTGTTTCTTTAAGATCCTCCACAAAACAAAACAAAATTCAGAAAGCGTAAGCTGTGATGTGTATTTGCTCTACATGTACATATGCTCTACTTACGTGATAAAGAATAACATGTAACTTTACTGTATATGGGCGTCTTATTACAGTAAACGTCTTGTTTTGGCCCATTCATATTGATTCTTAATATCCACGAAACAAAATTCAAACCACCTCTTTACAGCATTTCCAGCACAAAATACTACCATTACTGCTTTTGATTAATGAATGCTTATAAATGAAATGAATACATAAGTAATGTAATCGGTTAATTGTATAAAGTAATTGCTGTAAGCGTTCGGTCCAGTAACCATTAACATAGCAAGAACTTAACTCCTTAATCACTAAAAACCAATAAACCTACAGCATTTCTTTGTCCCATGAGATGTTAAGACTACTGCCATCGACCAAAGAGTGTCCTATACAAACTGTGACAATACAAGAAACAGAATAAATGAATTTTTAAACATGTCTCATTGAAATGCAGTGGAGGTTTAGCTTCGATAAGTTTCAAATGTTATTCGTTGTACATTTACATGTAGTTTTTGTATAAAGCATGTGTATTCCAATGATATGCTGCTGCTGCTGCTGATAATGGTGATTACTTGTAGTTAAGTAAATTCAAAACATCAACACCAGAGTCTCGAATATCTACCGAAACAGATTCCATTGGGCATAAAAGGCAAAAGAGTGAATACAATTTATGAGAGGACTGACACCAGGTGTTCGCGAAAAGGATAATCATGATTTAGATACATGTAGAACGTTGTTGATGGCACGATAACGTAAATACATCTCATTTTAATTATCATCGCACGTCACATTATCAACTTGTGTTGGACAGTGTGGTCGACCAGTGGCATTTGCTGGTCAAGCAGAACACCCGGGTATACTTCCTCTGTGTCCATTCTTAATGTTTCTCAACGTAATGTTTGAATCAACATAAAAGTATATTAACTCACTCATTAAACAGTTATTAGACACATATTTGAAATGCTGCGCTAAATTTCGACATACTTAACTGTTAAATATTCAAAACAGGATGCAAGATATGAATGAAATAATAATTCGAAATTTCATTGGATTAATGATATCTAATAGCGAAATATGAAATACACTTTCTGTAAGCATGAGCACTTGAGTGCTAAAATTTAAGTCAGTGTACGATTCCGACTATCATAAGCATGTGCAGAGACCATATAATATATGGTCTCTAGCATGTGTTTATGGCTTACTATCAAATAGTGATGACAGGAATAAAACAAGGACTGGTCGGCTCGGAGTCAGTATACTGTGTCTGAGTTGGGTATTCATGCTAAACTGCGGCATGGTATCTCATTGGGCTAGCACTATAAATCGGCATCCGTCCGGGCTAGTACAAGCAGCCACACACACACCAGGGTGCATACACATCGCTATATAAGTGCAATAATCTTGGAGCACCATTTCACCTCACCTTGTGCTGATGCAGTGAACCATTAACTTGTTATTGAAATATCAATTTCCCGAAGGACTACTCGCATCTATTTTAAAGTAGGATGATTTCTCCATACATCACCGTAGTAGCATCAGTCGTATGGTCATTTTTCTGTGTACAACCATACATTTGGTTCCAAACAGGGTTCATAACATGAGCGTTAGAGACGAGTCGTCAAAATGACAGTTCCATATGAAATACTTTGGACACAAACCCTTATTTTCTTACTTTCGATGAGGGTCATCCTAAGTGGTAACGATTGTGACTGTCTTGCCAAGATGATCGATGTCTACACTGATCAGATGTTGTCAGCTGAGGTGAAATGGACACACAATACAAGTTTACGATTGGAATGTGCTTCAGAATGTTACAGAGATGAGAAATGTGTGAGTTTTCAGTTTTCGAAGACCGACAGCCTGTGTGTGGCTTATGTCGTCAACTCTGAGAGCAGTCCTAGCAGCGTCAGTAGCCCTGGCTACATCATGTACGACACATGTCGATGTAGGTAACTTGCTTATTTATAATATTAACATTTGATAAATATTCAATCTTATTTTCATTCTGGAGTTGAATTATGTTTTATGTAACTCATGAAATGAGAACAAACTCATTTCAAAGTTCCATTGATTTTGTTATATACTAAAATTGAGGAATTAAACACACATTTCACACATGTTTGAGGAGTAGCCAAACTTTAGATTTGGGAAATGCTATTCATACTTCTAAACGTTTCCAATTTCTTACAATAATATAAAGAAAAGCGACCTAACCCTTTCCATATTCATAAGAAATCCCTGCCAAAAGCAGGGCAGCTTGTACGATTCCGACTATATCATGATCATGTGTTTATGAATCACAATCAAATAGTGATGATACCAGGTGTTCGCGAAAAGGTGAGTGTATCCTGCCCTACCGGTGGCACCCGTCACAAACACATGCAAAGACAAGTCAACTCTGAAAAACATAATAGTACAAGTCAAAATATAGAATCGGGCACCATTTTTTGTCACTGATAGAATTTGGAAAAGTCCTCCACATGTCTCCCATAGAACCTTTCGAAAGCTTTACTGAGGCCTTGAATGTTGTATCATTGATTATACAATTTTCTGAGAAAAAGTGATCCAGTCGTATGACGCTCTTTGGAATCTTGGTAAAAAGAGCATGCTCGAATGTACCTCAAAATTTGTGAAATGTAAACAGCAAAGGCTTGAGCTGCATGAATATTACCTGACATAAAGAGAAAGTTGACCATTGGAAAATTGAAGTCATCGATCTTGTCACACAGTCTTGTAGAGATTGTTTTATCACTCTTTACGCATATATATCTCCTTCATTTCTAGTTAGGTTGGTGAATCAGTGGAAGAGAATTGACTATTTGATAGATACAGATCATCGATATACCTGAAGCTTAAGTTAAACTTGTTGGACAAATTACCTTGTTTTGACTTTGCCAATCCGAACAGAAATTCCGATTCATATGCACAAAGAAACATCATCAAGAAGGGGAGCATAATTGATGCCCATGGGGATGCCTACTTCTTGCTTAAATGTCTTACCTCAAGATTTTACACAGATGTTGTCAAGGAGGAAATCCAGCATTTCACTAATTGCTTTCAGTAAACTTTAGATGGCACTCGCTTTCATTTTTAACGAATAGCCCTGAACCTCAGAAGAACTGTTTATACAGTGGTTCAGTGGCTAACTGTGTCAATATATTGAATAGCTGGAGTAGTTGGCACAACATACAAGAAATCCAGCAACTTATCAACATTACTAACTGTCTTTTGCGTCATCTTCAAATAATCCTGAAAGCCTTAGAAAAAAAGTTTTCTTCATTTCCAAAGAGTGAGTGAGTGAGTTTGATTCTATGCCGCTATTAGCAATATTCCAGCAATATGACGGCGGGGGACACCAGAAATAGGCTTTACACATTGTACCCATGTCGGGAATCGAACACGGGTCTTCGGCGTGACGAGCGAACGCTTTAACCACTAGGCTACCCGACCGCCCCCATTTCTAAAGAGAGTCATGTTTGTGTTGGTATGGAAAAACTGAGATACTATATAACCATTAGGCGTTTTCTTTTCTCAGATTGTTTTTATGGTGGTCCTGTTTAAATAAAAGCGACAACACAGTTCCCATATTTATTAGTAATCTCTGCTAAAAACATGGTCGATTGCACGATTCCGACTATATCACGAATATGATCGTGGAAGTCCGTTACAAACACATGCAAAGGCAAGTAAATTGTTCACCTGAAAATTTTATTTATAGCTGCCCTAACATGCCATTGCTGTGTGTGGGTTGTTTCCAAAATTATAGACAACGCTGAGAGGAGTAGGTACGAGCTAATTTTGCTGTGATGAGAAAAACAAACTGGAGATAATTACCTATTTTTTTTTAGTATAATGCGCACACCACTCTAGGACATGTAGTATTTTGGAGGGAAACAAAAGACTTTTCGAAATTGTGCGCAGTAAAAATCTACATCATTTCTCTTCAAGTGAACACACTTTGTCAATGAAAATGTGCAATTTATGGTATGACGTCACTACTTCTACACATGATCATTTGCCTTTCAAATCATATTTCCTGTTCTACTTGGCATAGTTTTATATGCAGAGATTTAGACAACAGAACGGAACACAGCAACACTTTATTTATCTCAGGCCCAGTACATGGTATATGAGGCATGAAGCTACCATAAATATGACTTTTAACAATCTCTATGAACTAACGTTCGTTTTCAGGCGTCAGTAGCGGTAGTCGTATTGTGATTGTTGTTAATAACGCGGTGAGTTTGTGCGATCTGCCTATCAGGCCACAAACGATTTCACCGAAATGAAAGTAAATGAATGAAGTTTTGAATAAGATTAATAACATCGTTTGGAAATATAAGTCCAAATATATAATGAACACGTTTTATAACCAGAGTGTAATAACAGGATCGACTTGTGTACTTCAGTACGGATTTTTTCACATGGTATATCCGGTGTTACACAGTGATGTGTTGTTGGGGAAAACTCATTGTAGGCTTGTATTGTGCCCCACCCCTCTGCCCATCTGGTAAAAGGGGTGAGTAAGTGTGAGTTTGGTTTTACGCCGCTATCAATTTCCTGCATTATCACGACAGGGGACGCAAGAAATGGGCTTAACACATTGTACCCATGTCGGGAATCGAACCCTAAGGCGTGACGAGCGAACGCGTTAACCAGAAGGTCGTCTCACCACCCTGGAAAAATAAAATTACGCACTAAACACATAAACTTCATCACTCGTTGTGCAAGTCTCTATCGATCCCCCAGGGAACTCTAACGGAAGAATTTTTAAACATAGAGTTTTCTCTTCTTCCCATGTTAGAAGATGATACAATCATATCTGGTATCGGGTGTAGCCAGTGTGTTAAGGAGACACGGTAGGATCGCCACAGAAGCGACTGTCAGAGTTTGGTAATATGCATATTTTTTCAAACCCTTCCATATGTTTTCACTAAAGTCAGTTCGACTACCGAATTCAGGTTTTGAGAAAACAAAAACAACAAACAAAAACTTAAGTTCCACATTTGAGTGTTCCTAAAATTTGCTGAACCAGGTGATAAAACACATATGATGTTTTAGCGTTTGTGTTTGTTCTTATCTGGTGTTGTTCCTTTGAGGTAAGAAAATATAATATCGACCACATCTGAGAGTATGGAGTGTCTGATTCTGCTGTTCACATCTGACTGTGTAGTTTTTGACCGAGCTATTTCATGTTAATATTATTTGATCTACTCAGTTAAGGGTTGTGGTATTATTACTTCATTCGTAGCCCTGTGAAGAGAGAGTGAGTTATATTTGTGGACATCAAGCCTGTTATGTCTTTCCTTTCTCAGCCCCACAAACGTTTGGATCCGACTGCAGGAAAAACAAAGATTGCACATTCACAGAATATGCCGTTTGCAGAGACAACATTTGCAAATGCCAGGAAAAAAAATTACAGTCAGGGAGCATCTGTATTGATATTTTAGGTAAGCAATTGTATATATTCTTCATATCGCAATTATTTATGACATTATAAAGATCGTGTTACGATTTCCGTGTAATTTATTGGTTTAAGAAAACACAATGAGCTGTATTAACCAAAGAAACCACCAATGACTATGAACAGTTTCCTTCAGGTTCAACTGTTACAACACCACCGGAGGACAGTTCTGCTCATCAATCTCCACATCAAGAACCTCCACAAAATGACCCTCCCCCTCCACCGCCACCTCAAGAACCTCCACAAAATGACCCTCCACCTCCACCTCCACCTCAAGACCCTCTACAAAATGACCCTCCACCTCCACCGCCACCTCAAGAACCTCTACAAAATGACCCTCCCCCTCCACCGCCACCTCAGGAATCTCCACAAAATGACCCTCCTCCTCCACCTCCACCTCAAGAACCTCCACAAAATGACTCTCCCCCTCCAACGCCGCCTCAAGAACCTCCACAAAATGACCCTCCCCCTCCACCGCCACCGCAAGAACCTCAACAAAATGACCCTCCTCCTACACCTCCAATTCAACCTCAAGAACCTCCACAAAATGAGCCTCCTCCTCCACCTCCACCTCAAGAACCTCCACAAAATGACCCTCCCCCTCCAACGCCACCCCAAGAACCTCCACAAAATGACCCTCCACCTCCACCTCCACCTCAAGAACCTCTACAAAATGACCCTCCTCCTCCACCGCCACCTCAAGAACCTCCACAAAATGACCCTCCATCTCCACCTCCACCTCAAGAACCTCCACAAAATGACCCTCCACCTCAAGAACCTCCACAAAATGACCCTCCTACTCCACCTCCACCTCAAGAACCTCCACAAAATGACCCTCCCCCTCCACCTCAAGAACCTCCACAAAATGACCCTCAACCTCCACCTCAAGAACCTCCACAAAATGACCCTCCTCCTCCACCGCCACCTCAAGAACCTCCACAAAATGACCCTCCTCCTCCACCTCCAGCTCAAGAACCTCCACAAAATGACCCTCCACCTCCACCTCCACCTCAAGAACCTCCACAAAATGACCCTCCTCCTCCAACTCCACCTCAAGAACCTCCACAAAATGACCCTCCACCTCCACCTCAAGAATCTCTACAAAATGACCCTCCCGCTCCACCGCCACCTCAAGAACCTCCACAAAATGACCCTCCCCCACCAATACCGCCTCAAGAATCTCTACAAAATGACCCTCCACCTCCACCTCAGGAACCTCCACAAAATGAGCCTCCTACTCCACCTCCACCTCAAGAACCTCCACAAAATGACCCTCCTCCTCCACCGCCACCTCAAGAACCTCCACAAAATGACCCTCCTCCTCCACCACCACCTCAAGAACCTCCACAAATTGACCCTCCGCCTCCACCTCTACCTCAAGAATCTCCACAAAATGACTCTCCACCTCCACCTCAAGAACCTCCACAAAATGACCCTCCACCTCCACCGCCACCTCAAGAACCTCCACAAATTGACCCTCCCCCTCCACCGCCACCTCAAGAACCTCCACAAAATGACCCTCCAACTCCACCGCCACCACAGGAACCTCCAAAAAATGACCCTCCACCTCCACCTCAAGAACCTCTACAAATTGACCCTCCCCCTCCACCGCCTCCCCAAGAACCTCTACAAAATGACCCTCTTCCTCCACCTCCACCGCCACCCCAAGAACCTCCACAAAATGACCCTCCGCCTCCTCAAGAACCTCCACAAAATGACCCTCCCCCTCCACCGCCACCCCAAGAACCTCTACAAAATGACCCTCCGCCTCCACCGCCATCTCAAGAATCTCAACAAAATGACCCTCCACCTCCACCTCCACCTCCACCTCAAGAACCTCCACAAAATGACCCTCCGCCTCCACCTCCACCTCAGGAACCTCCACAAAATGACCTTCCTCCTCCATCTCCACCTCAAGAACCTCCACAAAATGACCCTCCACCTCCACCTCAAGAACCTCCACAAAATGACCCTCCCCCTCCAACGCCACCTCAAGAACCTCCACAAAATGACTCTCCACCTCCACCGCCACCACAGGAACCTCCACAAAATGACCCTCCTCCTCCACCGCCACCCCAAGAACCTCCACAAAATGACCCTCCTCCTCCACCTCCACCGCCACCTCAAGAACCTCAACAAAATGACCCTCCGCCTACTCAAGAACCTCCACAAAATGACCCTCCCCCTCCACCGCCACCCCAAGAACCTCTACAAAATGACCCTCCGCCTCCACCGCCACCTCAAGAATCTCAACAAAATGACCCTCCACCTCCACCTCAAGAACCTCCACAAAATGACCCTTCACCTCCACCGCCACCTCAAGAACCTCTACGAAATGACCCTCCACCTCCACCGCCACCTCAAGAACCTCCACAAAATGACCCTCCTCCTCCACCTCCACCTCAAGAACCTCCACAAAATGACCCTCCACCTCCACCGCCACCTCAAGAACCTCCACAAAATGAGCCTCCTCCTCCACCTCCTACTCAAGAACCTCCACAAAATGACCCTCCACCTCCATCGCCACCTCAAGAATCTCCACAAAATGACTCTCCACCTCCACCTCAAGAACCTCCACAAAATGACCCTCCGCCTAAAGAATCCTCCACAAAATGACCCTCCGCCTCCACCAACACCTCAAGAAACTCCACAAAATGACCCTCCTCCTCCACCTCCACCGCCACCTTAAGAACTTTCCTCCCTACCACCCACAGAACTTTCCTCCCTACCACCCACAGAATTTTCCTCCCTACCACGCACAGAAGCACCACGACATGACTCTCCCCCACTACCGGCTCCAATGTAACCAGAATATGACAATCCTCAACCTCCATGAAAGATTGACCTCCTTTGGTTCAGTATATATTGCTTTGGCCTTTATCAGTATTTCTTCTGGTCAACATAAATCTTGTGCACACAATGCTTAAGACAGTATCATCAGTGGCAATAAAAATCTAGAGATTAAGATATTAAATTCCGTCAATTCCAAAGTCTATATGCGTTCTGTTATCTATCACGACAGACGTGTTCGTCAATGTTTATTACGTGTTTTCAGATTCACTATCTGGTAACTATAATGGGAAATATTCAAATATTTCATCTGGAGATTTTTACAAGAAATAAATCTCCCAAAATACTATTCTATATTTCTAATCTAAAGTTTATAATAATTATCACTAGTATATCATGCACACAATAACAACAACAACGGTTTATGGATAGTTTTTTTATTGAATAAGCTGTAAAGCTAATCTTTCAGTCTGTTGCTGTTAGTGCATTTACCTCTTAATGTGTTTGTGTGAATGTGTCTGGATTTACTGGTCCAGACTCGATTACTTACAGACGTCGTCATATAGCTAGAAAATTGCTGAATAGGACGTTAAACAGCAAACAAACAAATAAATAAACAAACGTCGCAGATCGTGCAGTGAATACAGTGATAGGAGTTCTTAACCTATTTGTATGTTTGTAAAAACAACTTTAAACGTTAACATGTGCAATTGTGTTTATTTATGATTATTTATTATATTTATATCGAGAAAATTGGTTCAGCATCGCAGAAAAACGTATCGTATAGGACAAATGGTTTCGTGGTTAAACGGTTACACGTGCTATCTTTATGTTGCTTTAAATAATTTGGGCATCATTAATAAATATTTTAGTCTCAAGAAACCAAAAACATATTCTGTTATTGATGATGATGATAAATTCCTCTCCAGCAATTTATGTGGTGTGGGCACGCCACAAACCCATGAAAATGAGTTCGAATCCCGGTTCGCCCCGATTATGCTTCCACCATACCCATGCTTGTGTGGTTCACCGAAGTAATAAAGTTGGAGACCTGGATCACTTGGGGTTTTCTCCCACTTAAAGCTGACACGCCGTGATATAACTGGAATACTGTTAAAAGCGACCTTAACTATAACTCACTCACTCACTCACTTAAATGTGTTTTCTTAGACCACGAAATCAAAAACTCATAAACAATACATTCAGCAATAATTACCTTAATTAATGATTCTGCCTCAAGAAAATATTTCCTGACTTTTTCAAGCGTGTATTTGTCTGGCTAGATTTAATGATGGCATCAAGTTCACAGGTTTTCCCAAACAAGAAGATATACATGTTGTCAGGTTCGATATAATATGAAGTTATTCTAAAATATTGCCACGAAACAGTTTGCAATTTATCTTCAAGTAAGCAGCTTAAAGGGTAACCACTTGAAAATGTTGTCGTCAAAGTATTGCAAAGCAAGATGATGAAGGTATTCTTGTTATGAAATCTGTGTATTTCAAGGCAACAGTTCCTAATTCACCCAGCCAATACACGACGGCGTGAACAGCACAATCGCATTCAGCAAAGTTAAGGCAACCTTCGGTAAAGGGTATAATCCGACATCCGGGATATTTCATGACCGAATTTTAGGTAAAGAAATATTGACAAGCATCCAAACAACACAAATAAGTTGTTTAAAAAAATTAAAGTTATCTAAGTTTGGAAAAAGAAACAATTTTTACATTCTTTAGTCTGATATTCTACGAACACACGATTTGACACTGTAAAAGGTGATACGCCGATGTCCTATGCTCTTTCAAACATACACATTTTCATGACATCGGAAGCTGTTGTCCTGTCGCTGTCAAAGATATGCCATTTATCTAATTATCTTCACTTTTGCAATGACGTTCAATAGCAGGACATGTAAGAAGATTATGTTAGCTAAACACAGAGAGGATCTGGGCTTCGTGGATAATTAACGTGATGGACTGGATCTTTCACAAACACCCAAATCGTAGGGTGAACTTGAAAGTAAAACTTGTATAGATGACACAGACATCATGGTAACTAGAAATTATTTGAAAATTCTCGTCCGTGACTGTTTGGCGTTGGACACAAACATCCGTTGATTTATGTAGGCTTAATTTCAAGACGGGGTGAGTTCTACAGTGGATTGCAATCCTTGATTCCCTGTCACTGTTTATTCATTAGGCATCCGATCCTTCAGACAAATATAACATTATTCAAACATCACAGCTGTAGCAGGTGTCACTGGTCTGTTCTCAATGTTTAAAAAGTACCGAAGTTTATGGAGAATAAATAATGATAACTCTCTTCCCCGCCTCTTTTTGTCGGAATTAAAACATATAACTATGTGTAAATTATGCAAGCATACCACACACCACCCTGTTTCACCTTCATGACTTGCGGTCGGCCCTTACGTGTGATACGGTTACGTAAATACGAACATCGTTTGTCATATTTACGGTAGTGGTATATACTAATTAGATCGCCGAAAACAATGTAACTCTGTTTATCCTTTGATCATGCCATACTCTGAATTCATTCTGTGATATACACATTATGTTAAAAACCGCCATCTTATTGTATCCAACATTCATGTACATGAATTATTATAAGTTGTAATCTTGTGACAATAATTTATGTCATTTAAGAGCGGTAAGACACAAGTGAGACATTAAGATAATGGATATTTCAGATAAGATCAAATTTTAGAATATCGTCCATTTTCAATTTGAAGTACAATAATGCAAGAAATAAGTGATGTTGCTATTTAAGTCTCACATATAGAAACTACACCATGACTACCACAAAACATCAGGCCAGGGGAAGCAGGTGGAGCGAGGTAACCAATGACGTCACAATGGTCTGCAAATTATTGTGATGCAATTTCATTGCAGCGATATCTACAGTGTAGATATACAGAATACTAAACGAGCTCCCGTGTAATACCAATTTTATGAAACGAGTGAATAGTTCTGGTATCTGACGAGCGAAAGCGAGTCAAATACCACAACTATTCACGAGTTTCATAAAATTGGTTTTACACGAGAGCGAGTATTTTATTTATTACTTGTCATTTATAATGTTTTTAGAATTATACTGTTGTGTGTAAATAGGCTGACACCTACACGATCCATGGCATAATCCAATTGAGTTTAACAGAATAATACTTCAAACACGTCAAAAGTTGAAACGTATGAATTTAATATCATACAATGGTCCAGCTTTAGAATTCAGGCGTTCGTCCCACAAAATTATCGTAGTGCTAAGGCTATCACAACTCACATAATTTAACTTAGACTAACGACTGTCGTTGCGCTAGAATACGATCGCCTTGTGGAACGGGGCCTTGCACCTCAAAGTTTACAATCACGTCACAATACCCGATGACGTAATTTGTTGAATTTTGTTGCAAGATCCATCGGCGAAACAATGCCACGTGACGTCAGCCTAGCAACAAGGTTGCTGGGGTCATCGTGTGTGCATAATCTCCTCCCAGTGATCTATCATCTCCACACACAATGTCGTTGAATACGCCAAGGGATGTTGAGAGCTTTCAATATTTGTTCGTGAAACGTGTTCCGAGATTACATAAGCACGCGTTTTGGTATTACACAATGTGTAATAAAGCTGTATGTTTATTAAACGGGTGGTCTCTTCACGGGCAAGTAATAAATCGCTTGATCTCACCCAAGCGATATCTCCTGTGGGAGACAGTTTTGAATGATAAATAATATTACACAGTTATGCAAAATACCGACTGAGAATGAACACAAATACCCATAGAGACAAAGACATAAAACTTCATTATCATAACAGCGTGTTAAATGTGACATAAATATATTTCCCCTTCACGTCATTATTATATTTGGTGCTCCGTTTCATGAAAAATACATTTGTATTTTTTCCCCCAACTAAATGTGACCGAATTTCACAAGAATATAGATTATGAATAACTAACAAAGGATACACAATGGCATGTAACATTGGACAGATGATGGAAGTATCAGATATGATTGGATGATATATAGACTACACACTAATGAAATCTTGGTCAAGTATGGGCACTTGATGTAGCTATAAATGACTGTGCATCAGCTGCTGGCAGCATCTGGATTCTTGGCGTCATGTTGCTTCATGCGACTAGCATACTGTTGTACATTCATCTGTACATGGGATATGGGACTGCTTCAAATGAAGGTAAGTCCACTTTAAGCCTGGCCTGGTCTTTATTCATGTATTAACATTTTTAAGAGGGGTCTTTGTTTTAAAGCTATACTTTACAATTGCAGCAGGAGAGAGGCAACTATGCACTTTACTGTAGAGACAAGAAGGGACATTGCTCACCACGTAAACAGTCTGGCATAATTGAGAGTATTTAACATTATATGATATCTTAAGAACACATAATAATTTCTTTAAGACACAATGCGCATTTTCCTTCATTTCAAGCCTGCAGCAACATCCCTTCATTGATAACATCTACGTAAAATTTGGGGATAAGACATTTAGGCAAGGAGTAGGCATCCCCATGGGCATCAATTGTCCTCCCCTTCTTGCGGATCTGTTTCTTTATGCATATGAATCGGAATTTCTGTTCGGATTGGCAAAATCAAAACAAAGTAATTTGGCCAATAAATTTAACTTAAGCTTTAACTTAAGGAATGTCTATGATCTGAAATCGTCCAATAACAATAAAATAGCCAATTCCCTTCCACTGATTTACCCACCTGAACTAGAAATATGGGAGACCAGTGAGAACGCGTCATCTGCTTCATATTTAGATCTATGCATAAAGATTCAGGGTGGCGCCATTCTAGCCTTTACATAGCAGCAATACTGCTGACTGAGGGCGTACACTCATTCTAGCCGTTACATAGCTGCAATACTGCCGACTGGGAGTGTACACTCATTCTAGCCGTTACATAGCGGCAATACTGGTGACTGGGAGTGTACACTGTACACTCATTCTAGCCGTTACATAGCGGCAATACTGATGACTGGGAGTGTAGACTCATTCTAGCCGTTACATAGCTGCAATACTGATGACTGGGAGCGTACACTCATTCTAGCCGTTACATAGCGGCAATACTGCTGACTGGGAGTGTACACTCATTCTAGCCGTAACATAGCTGCAATACTGCCGACTGGGAGTGTACACTCATTCTAGCCGTTACATAGTGGCAATACTGGTGACTGGGAGTGTACACTGTACACTCATTCTAGCCGTTACATAGCGGCAATACTGCTGACTGTGAGTGTACACTCATTCTAGCCGTTACATAGCGGCAATACTGCCGACTGGGAGTGTACACTCATTCTAGCCGTTACAAAGCGGCCATACTGCCGACTGGGAGTGTACACTCATTCTAGCCGTTACATAGCTGCAATACTGATGACTGGGAGCGTACACTCATTCTAGCCGTTACATAGCGGCAATACTGCTGACTGGGAGTGTAGACTCATTCTAGCCGTTACATAGCGGCAATACTGTTGACTGGGAGTATGCACTCATTCTAGCCGTCATATAGCGGCTATACTGCTGACATGGAGTGTACACTCATTCTAGCCGTTACATAGCTGCAATACTGCCGACTGGGAGTGTACACTCATTCTAGCCGTTACATAGCGGCAATACTGCTGACTGGGAGTGTACACTGTACACTCATTCTAGCCGTTACATAGCGGCAATACTGATGACTGGGAGCGTACACTCATTCTAGCCGTTACATAGCGGCAATACTGCCGACTGGGAGTGTACACTCATTCTAGCCGTTAAAAAGCGGCCATACTGCCGACTGGGAGTGTACACTCATTCTAGCCGTTACATAGCGGCAATACTGATGACTGGGAGCGTACACTCATTCTAGCCGTGACATAGTGGCAATACTGATGACTGGGAGCGTACACTCATTCTAGCCGTTACATAGTGGCAATACTGATGACTGGGAGCGTACACTCATTCTAGCCGTAACATAGTGGCAATACTGATGACTGGGAGCGTACACTCATTCTAGCCGTTACATAGCGGCAATACTGCTGACTGGGAGTGTACACTCATTCTAGCCGTGACATAGTGGCAATACTGCTGACTGGGAGCGTACACTCATTCTAGCCGTTACATAGCGGCAATACTGCTGACATGGAGTGTACGCTCATTCTAGCCGTCATATAGCTGGAACATTGCTGAGTGCGGCGTAAAACAACAAACCAACCAACCAACCAACTTATTGGAACTCCTGTTTACTCGAAGCTTTATCAGGTCTATCTTCGTCACGTATATTCCCCCAAATCGGAGTTACTGATTACTCGAAAACATTCCTGGCCTACCTTCACCATGCACACTCCCTCTTACTTAACCTCCAGTTAACTCGAAGTCATCAGTGGTCAACCTTCACCATGCAAGCGCCCTCTTTTTAGAACTCCTGTTAAGTCGAAGCCATCTATCGTCAGCCTTCATCATGCATGCCCCCTCTTACTAAATCTAATGTTAACTCAAAGCCATCACTGATCAACCTTCAGCATGCATATGCCCTCTTATTGGAATTACTGCTAAGTCGAATTTATACCTAGTCCATCTGACCACATATACACTCTCTTTTTGGAAATCGTGTTATCGAATCAATCCATGTTGAATCTTCATATGAATATTCCCTCTTATTTGAGTCCTCATAACTCGAAGGAGTCTCTATCTACCGTGAACAAACACACCAATCCCCACCCCCATTTTAGAGTTACTGTTAACTTGGAAACAATCCCCGTCAACTTTCACCATGCACACTCCCCTTTATCTAAACTCCTTATAACTCGAAGCTAAAATGGTCTCCCTTCAGCATGCATATCCCCACTTATTGAAACTACTGTTAACTCGAAGCCATACCTGGTCCACCTTTACCACATTCTCTTCCAAATATCGGAGTTACTTTAAACTTGAAGTCAGCCCTTGTCTACCTTCACCATATCTACTCTGTTTTTCCCTTTGGAACTCCTGTGAAGTCGCGCCATCTATTGTCTACCTTCCTCATGTACACCCAATGTTTTTTTATAACTCGAAGCTATCCCTGGTCTCCCTTCAGCGTGCATATTCCCCTTTTTCGGAACTCGTGTTATTTCGAACCCGTACCTGGCCTACCATCACCCCAAATACTCCCGAATATCGGAGTAACTGTTAACTCGAATTCATCAGTGGTCAACCATCACGGAACACGGCTCCTCTTACTTGTCATCCTTCACCCACCAGCATTAAATAAACTCCCTCTATGATTGGACTCCTTTAACTAGAAGTCATCCTTGGCATATCAGATCTATCTATACTTCCTCGATGATTGGACTCATATTAACTCGAGGTCAGCTTTGGACAATCAGCACTATCTATACTCCCTCGATGATTGAACCTCTTTTAACTTAAAGTCAGCTTTGGCCAGTCAGCACTATCTATACTCTCTCGACGATTGCACGCCTTAACAGGAAGTCATCCTTGGCTCATCAGTACTATATATACTCCCTCGATGATTGAAACTCTTTTAACTGGAATTGAGCTTTGGCCAGTCAGCACTATCTAAACTCCCTCGGTGATTGGACTCCTTTTAACTTGAAGTCATCTTTGGCTCATCAACACTATTTATACTCCCTCGACGATTGCACTCCTTTAACAGGAAGTCACCCTTGGCTTATCAGCACTAGCTGTACTCCCTCGATAAATGAGCTCCTTTAACTCGAAGTCATCATTGGCTTGTCAGCACTATCTCTACTCCCTCGATGATTGAACCTCTTTTAAATGGAGGTCAGCTTTGGCCAGTCAGTGCTATCTATACTCCCTCGACGATTGATCTCCTTCAACAGGAAGTCAGCCTTGGCTCATCAGCACTATCTATACACCCTCGATAACTGAGCTCCTTTAACTCGAAGTTATCCTTGGTTCATCAGCACTATCTATACTCCCTCGATGATTGAACTCCTTTCAACAGGAAGTCAGCCTTGGCATATCAGAACTATCTGTACTCCCTCGATGATTGAACCTCTTTTAACAGGAAGTCAGCCTTGGCCTATCAACACCATATATACTCCCTCGACGATTGAACGCCTTTTAACTGGAAGTCATCCTTGTCATATCAGAACTGTATATACTTCCTCGGTGACTGAACTCCTTTTAATTGAAAGTCCTCTTTAGCTTCACAGCATGATTGAAACACTGAAAGTCATCCGATCTGTGTTGTCTGTTGTCCCGCGAACAGGAGTGAGGGAGTGAGTAAGTTGGGTTTAATGTCGCTTGATGTGGGAGGAAAACTCGAAGTGATGCAGGTCTCAGACTTTGGTGAAATCCACGAACACGGGCATGGTGCTGACAAACTTAGAAACATAACTTGGGCGAACCGGGATTCGAATCCACAATCATAGATTTCTGGTGTACACAGAAGGCATGCACCATGATCCTCATATATCGGAGTCCCAGTTAAAGAGAGGCCAGACTCGGGATAATTAGCAGTCCCAGCAAACTTGATTCAAGTCCTTTCTTTGTCTCGAAATTGGGCGCGAATAGTTTTTAATTTTACAAATACGTACAATCAGCATTGGTTATAATGATATCGCATCGAAATTATTCAGAGGGTTTCGGCTTACATATACGAAATATACACATTAACAATTTCGTCGATTTAATCTGTTTTCGATACATCCGTTATTTCGATATATCCGTCTTTGTTACACCCCACGTCGACTGAAGACTTATTTCTGCATTGTCCGGCATGTAACAGGTGACGTGGTTGTCCTCGTCAGCGACCTTGGCGGTTACATCTACAAATTCAACATGACAGGTGACAATGCAACGATGATATCACCGGCAATTAAAGACTCGAGGTCGTCCTCCATTGACTACGACCCTCTGTTCCGGCAAGTCTACTGGGTGAGACTGAATACGAAGACGATAATGAAGTCCGCATTTGATGGCAGCAACAAGCAAAGTGTCCTCATAACGAATTCAAGTAAGAACGCCGGGGGAAATGACCCTTCTATACATTTCCTCTACTTACTGTTACTGCAATATTCACGCAGTATGTATTGCCCACATCGAGGATATGAGCACACACCCCCCCCCCCCCCCCCCCCCCCCCCCCGACATGTGTGTGACTGAAATTGATTTGCCATCGGGAACTGATGTGAAAATTATACGCAACTGCATTAAAATGTAGCCTTCAAATACATGTAGAAGACAATATAATTTCTTTCCTAAAACTTATAATATCTACTCAAAGTTATTTCATTGCTGAAGCAAATTGTTTTGTTGTCGCGTCGTACGAGTGCATTTTAAGAATCGTATCTTATACAGATTTTAGGTATGCATTTTATTTTAACCTTTTCACAGCCATCCGGGACATTTCAATCGACTGGAAAATTAGACAGATGTTTTACGTTGATGACGATGCTGATGCAATATTCATGATGAATATGTCGACCACAGCGATCACTAAAATCATCTCATCAAAATCCAGTGATTGTCAGCCACATTCAATCGTGTTGGATACATCACGAAGGTTAGGCTATAACTTGACTCGCCCAAGTTTCGTCAACCCTGGCCTTCGGAAAGACATGATTGGGTTTTGGTGGTCAGTATTGCAACTGAAATTGCACAGGTTACCTAAGTGAATTCTCCAACTACTGACCATGATTTTATCGATGCTCTAACAATCGACCACGGCATTATCTATACTCTGTTACGCGGTATTAAGGATACTCTAACAGTCGATCCTGATGTGTGGATGCTCTAACTGTCAACCACGTTATTATAGATGATCTAACTATCGATAGCAGTATTTTCGATGCTCTAACTATCGCCCACGATATTATCGATTCTCTAACTTCCAACCACGATATTGACAGCGGTAGTATCGCTGATGTTAATACTGACCACGGATCGATGACCTTTTCATTCAACAAACAGAACTGAATCCTCACAACCGGATTCGACACCCCACCATCCATTTATCCCTAATTGAGAGACAATTGTCCAGCTCGTATAGGGAACATTCATTGTATCGTAAAACAAACTACTTTTACAAGGCATATCATATCGCCAAACAAATATCTAAAATTCTATATTTCCAAGGTTCATTTACTGGACTGATATGGAGACAGCTAAGATTGAGAAGATGTGCTACAATGGAACTCGTCTTGAAACACTTTTATCTACTGGTGCTAGATGGCCCACTGGACTCGCCATTGATCAACAAGGTAGGCATTGTTATTGATACACAGAATACTGATCCTTTGATTTATTTGATACACGGTATGTGACTTCATGGTCAGCTATGTTACTTGGCCGCACTCAGCAATATTACAGCTATATGACGGCGGTCTGTGAATAATCGAGTCTGGACCAGACAATCTAGTTACTGGTATCATGAGCATCGGTATACGTAATTGGAGCACCATGACATTCATCAACCATGTCAAAGAGCCTGACCACCCGATCCCGTTAGTCGCCTCTTACGACAAGCATAGTCGCCTTTTACGGCAAGCATTGGTTGCTGAAGACCTATTCTAGCCCGGATCTTCACGGGTCTGTTACTTGGAATACACACAACGGGTAAAAGGACATATGCTCCCCAGAAAAAGAAACGCATATGCTCTTTTCAAGATAATTATTCTATGAGTGAGTGAGTAGTATTGTACGCCGTCTTAAGCATTATTCCATCAATATCGTGGAGAGGGACACCAGAAATTGACTTCACACATAGCTGATTCATTCAGTGACTTCTATAAGGATTTAGAAGCGAAACGTGGGGCATGAATGTGTTTAGAAGATCACAAAATGAAACAAAGTTTATCAAACATTAACGGAGAACGTAATGGTGAGGACGTAAGGACGTAGGATCTCGTCACTATAACGCACACTTATTAAGTTGCCCGCATCATAGCACTTCCTCAACCCAATCTGTGGCACACACGCTCATCTCTCCTTTGAAGAAGGAAGCGGGAAACTGGAGCAAACGATACGCCAACTTTAGAAACACAACTGATGTAGTGGTGCCATGTACATGTTGCCGATATCGTTCCTGAAGTTGGAAGATTATGCTCCAGACAATGTTGAAATGCCTTGCCACTGATGTTTGAAATTTGCCAGCTTTAAGTCCACTAATAACCTTATTTCTCACATCTTGGTCTTGGCATGACGATTAACTCTATCACAGACTGTGAAACATGAATGTAAATGAACATGCAGACTTTATTGTCATAATTGAGTGCAACATGGAATACCTAACACCCACATTTACTTTTGTTAACAACCTATTTGTTTCTGTCTCTGTGTAGTATAAATTAAGTGATACATGGAATAAACATTTAAATTTAGCATAAATAAAGCATAATTTATAATACATGGAACTGTTTCTTGTTTCCATCCATTCTCAATTTGTCGTGGTCATTTTTTGTTTCCAGGGGAACACTTATTCTGGTGTGATGCTCATTCCTCCACGAGCCACCTCATGTCCATGGAATTAGCAACTAAGAAGGTTTCTGTCATAAAAACAATGGAAACATATTTTGACGCCAACTATTTTGAAGGCCAGCTCTACATTATTGCGCGAAACCACAGGTGGTTCATATGGAATGCTTCTTAACTGAAACACGCCATTTTTTATGTTGGTCAAATTAACTGATTCTCGTAAATGTGATGCAAGGACTAGGACTTCCTAGTCTTAAGCGTCACTGTGGTTCGAAAACCATACATCGAAGTATGGATAACTCGATGGTCCCAGGACTTCGAGTTAAAGTTAACTCCGAGGGTATATACATATTTCCTAGTACACGTATGTTGGGAGCAGAGACGTTGTTGTGTTGATACTATTTTGAAAAAGTATCTGTGTATTTCGAAGTCTGATTTTACTTTAGTAGGTTATCTCAAGTCTATGTGGACATAGGGAAGGCAAGCCAATCAAACAATGTACCCTCCGGGCAAAGGAAAGTATACAGCCATGTTGGATGGCTTCAAAAAACATAAGAAACAAGAAATGGTTATTCGATCGATGTATTTGATACGAGTATCATAGTTGTGTCTTTGACCTTGCGTGAGCAGTGATTCCGGCAACTTCTTTCAGCCTAGAAAGGTTTTGATAACGTAATAATTTGGTGTCAGATCCAATATTCAAAATGTCTTTGACCCGGCAGTTTATATGTTTAGAATAAAGTTCATATTTAATTTATACCTTTACATACTCTTGCAGACGGTCTTTTTTCACAATGACGGTAAATGGAAGTAGGGTACAGAAACACACTCTGAGAAGAAGAATGTCTGAATGGCGAAGAATAAAAGTATTTCGGTATTATGGTAAGTAACGCACTGATTATCAAATACGTGTTAGTCATCACTGAAATACCTAAGGGCTTTCTTTAATGTCTGTCTTTTCTGTCCTGTTTAAGAATGTGACGAGGGCTACTATGGTGTGACCTGTGAATCCACCTGCGGCAGGTGTGCAGAGGGGAGCATTTGTGATCCAGGAAATGGACATTGTCCATCAAGGTGTCAGGCGGGATGGACAGGAGATAGGTGTGATACTGGTAGGTGTCTCCCCACCCCTCACTCTATCACACATAGATACACACATTCTCTCCCCTATCTCTCATACTCCTCACTCTTCACCCTCCTCTCTTACGCGGGGGCACGGGTGGCCCAGTCGTCTAAGGCGCCGCGATTCGCTGTGCAGAGTTGCGTCCCTTAGGCATGCCAGAAACCTATGATTGTGGGTTCGAATCCCGGTTCGCCCCGATTATTTTTCTAAGTTTGTCAGCACCATACCCGTGCTCGTGGGTTTCACCAAAGTGGTAAACGTCTGAGACCTGCATCACTTCGGGCTTTCCTCCCACATTAAGCTCCCACGCCGAGATATAACTGGAATACTGTTAAAAAGCGGCGTTAAACCCAACCCATTAACTCACTCACTCCTCTCTTACGTACGTATGCGGTGCTGATAGAGACACATCTTATATTTATTACAGAATGTCAAGATGGGCATTTGGACGACAGTTGTGCACTCTGTACCAACTGTAGGAAGCGGGTTGAGATCAAAGCAGGCGGTGGACACTGTCCGCCTGGATATACAGGCGACAGTTGTGACACTTGTAAGTAGATTATCGAGTGCAACGAATTTTGTAGCGTTCCGCTGTATTCTAATGACGAACAGAACGAGCAGTATTCCCCTACCCCATAATATCTTATGTTAGTAGTTTTTTATTTTTTAACAGCATGTCCGGAAGGTATGTATGGCGACGGATGTCTCTCCGTGTGTGGCAAGTGCGGGAACAACGCTCCATGTGACCCCGTGTCTGGACAATGTACTACTGACGTCTTGGCGTGCTTTGACGGTTCGTGTGAGAAGCATTTGGAAATAAAGCAAAACGTTTCACTTAACCAAACTCTATATTCTTTATACCTAAACGAATACAATGCACGAAATGGTTTATCTTAAATATCGCATGCTTGGTTCTATTACAATATCTGTGTATTGTGTAGATCGCCGTAACTCTCTGTTCAAAGCTTGTTGGATCCATTAATTGTAGGTTCGAATCCAGGTTTCGCAACGATTATGATACTGTTAGCACCACAACAAATTTCTTGGTTAAAACACATAAAAATTCCTTGGTCAAGTTTGGCTCGCCTCCCTCAATGTCATATAGGGGCACGGGTGGCCCAGTCGTCTAAGTAGCCGAGATTCGCTGTGCAGTGTTGCGTCCCTTGGGCACGCCAGAAACCTGTGATTGTGGGTTCGAATCCCGGTTCGCCCCGATTATGTTTCTAGGTTTGTCGGCACCATACCCTTACTCGTGGGTTTCATCGAAGTGGTAAACGTCTGATACCTGCATCACTTGGGGCTTTCCTTCCACATTAAGCTGACAAGCCGTGATATAACTGGAATACTGTTAAAAGCGGCGTTAAACCCAACTTACTCACTCACACACTCAATTTCATATTAGTATGAGTGGCGTTGAACCTGAACCGTTAAATCATTGGTGTCCCCAGCAAGACTGTTTAGAGAATCAGCTTCTCTTTTGTTGCTCTGTGTTGTTTGTTGATCCCCTGTGTTCAATTGTGTCATGTTACCTTGATGATGGATCGACGAGCATGCAGTCACCCGCATGAGCATGCAGTCATATGTGTGTTTGATCCAGTTGTCATAACATTACCGATTAGCCAGATATAATTAAATTTTCGCTGTATTCATTGAAATTCCTGCATTCTGATCAGCTGAATTGGTCACGTGTTATTGCATTCATTTCCCAACTAAATGTAAAAAAATAACTTCAATCATTACTACGGTGAATCCCAATATTACAGTCGAGAGGCTTTCTTTTCTGCTCATGAGTATCGTCATGCCCAGGACATTTAGCGAAACTCATGCATATTCATTGTCGAAACAACACTTTGAGACCGAAGGCCGAGAAGGAATGAAACAGCAAATGTGCAGGCTCGCTCACCCGTTTTTTTCCCGCTCGCCTCAATTCCACAACTTTCATGTCTTCGGGTTACATTTCTAACTAGCATTTTTCCAACCGTGTCTTCCCGTTCTCAGGGAACTAATGTTTGAATCTGGTTGTAAGTGACCATGTCATTTGAAACAGCCGCCTTCTCTCGGACATATTTGTTCCGGTTCATTGCAGTCTGACTTGCATTTCTTCTCGCCTCTTGCCTTGATTGACAGGTCATAGGAACATTGTTTTGATCCTACTCTCCGTTGATTGGCTACTGACTTTGTAGGCGTGTCAAGTTATGTACATAAATTAACCAATCACCTGATTCATGTCACGCCACTGTATGTATTCCTACACCTGGAATGTTTATCAATGTCTGCGTTGATAAGTACAACTGTTTTTAGTTAAACTATTGTAGATAAAACATGGCTTCGTTGTCGAATTTAATTATAAGCACTGATTGTGTATTTATTCGGTTCATTGAGGTATGAATCGAAAAACAGATGTGCAAACTTTTGGACACATACAGTTTGCATAACGCTTTTTCATTTCATACCTCAATGAACCGAAAGCAATACACAGTCAATCCTTAAAAAGTTGAAAATTGTGGTTTATCTGGAGTTATCTTAAACGTTAAACTAAGAAATGTAACAACATCTTACATATTTAAAATTGTTTTGTATTTCATTTCTGACTATTTCAGGTACACATTCGGTGGTTAAGCTGATCTCGGGGTCTTGTGTTGTGTTGGCAGTTCTGTGTGTCATTACGCTCATCACCCTTTGGAAATATAAAAGGTAATTCATAAACACAGTGTTTTGCATTTCTAATCTGCTGATACCACAGTCAAAGAGTTGCACAAATGTAAATGAAGTTAGTGGTGTCATGTAATTTAAAACCTGAAAACTCCGATATTGTGTCATGTTATGGCATGTGCGTTACTTTCCTACTTGAAAGTAAATCTCCAGAATTGAGAAATTTGTTGAAATTATGTTTTACAGCAACCCTATGTCGTATTCACCTGAAGATATGTAAATGAAAAGACGTAGAGTATGTGCTTAATTGAAACGTTTACAGAGAGGGTGGTCAGAGCAGGGGGTAATTCGTGGTTGCAGAGTCAAAAGAGTACAATACCATAAAGATGAGTGAGAGAGTTAGTTGGGTTTAACGCTGCTCTTAACAGTATTCCAGTTATATCGCGGCGTGTCGGCTTAATGTGGGAGGAAAGCCCGAAGCGATACAGGTCTTAGACGTTTACCACTTCGGTGAAACCCACGAGCACGGGTATGGTGCTGACAAACCTAGAAACATAATCGGCCGAACCGGGATCCGAACCCACAATCATAGGTTTCTGGCGTGCCCAGGGGACGCAACTCTGCACAGCGAATCGCTTGGCCACCCGTGCCTCCCCCCCCCCCCCCCCCATAAAGTTGACATCATAACCGTCACCATATAACTTAACGTTCTGCTATATCCCTGTCCCGTAGGAACGGGGGTGGGGGTGGGGGTGGGGGTAGATGATGTGTAGCTTGGAAGTGGGTGGGGTACTATGCATTCAATAACAAATAAAAGAAAGCCCTACGCGCGTCGTACTGCTTGTCGTATGAGGGGACTAACGGGATCGGGTGGTCAGGCTCGCTGACTTGGTTGATGCATGTCATCGTATTCCAATCGCGTGGATCGATGCTCATGATGTCACTCACTGTATTGTCTGGTCCAGACTCGACTATTTACAGACCGCCGTCATATAACTGGAATATTGACTTGTCCCTTTCTAATAGTGCTTCATATTCATACACAGGCTTGCCAAGCATCAAAAGGGTAAAATCCTTCGGCGGTTCGTGAAGAATGGAGGAATCTGTCAGACATCTGCAGAAAGTATATGCGATGTGAACATTATCTATAACCCCATGAATACTGTTGGCGTTGGGGAGCCGTCAATCAGCATCACAAAGCAATTGGACCGCAACGCTCAAGACGGAAACGACACGCACACGGGTCTCTTTGAGAGTAACTGCATGGTTGCAGAGGACAAGCTCGGCGTGTACGCCAGGTTTTGAACTTCAGGATGGCAAATATGGACGTTCCCTGTCCCCACTCTTGCTTGTGAATAACGACGATTTCGCGTTGTTCCAGAACACTTTTCAGCGTTAACATTGTAATTATTCGCCGAGAAGGACGATGTTACAGTCTTCGATTAAACTGTAGACACTTATACCCTGTTCACATGCACAACATTTACAGTAAACTACGGTTATAACGAACACGCTTATAACGAACTTACGTATATAACGAAGTGACTGTTTTGGTCCCGACTATTTGCTGTAGTTATGCTGTATATATGCTTATAACGAACTACGGTTATAACGAACTAAAATTAGTAGTCCCTTTGAGTTCGTCATAACCGTACTTTGCTGTACTAACGTAAGTAATTTTGCACATGTGTAACTATACATACGTGTGCATATGTAAATTTACTCTGCGTTCACATGAAAATCAACTTAGGTGTGCAAATAAAGTATGTAAATTGTGTAAGGCACACATATTCCTCAGTCTGTTTACGACTTTCAACACAAAACAGGTTGTTTTCCAATCAAAGTTGAATGAGAAGAGAGTTACTTCACCGAAAAGTTTCGCGTGAAGCAACATGTGTTTGATTTAATTTGTACACAAAGTTTTGAGACCTTGAAACCAAAAGAAAACACTGGCGACTTAACTCTGTATATACGCGTAAAAGTTGGCAACTGTTGACAAATATTTTGGTGTTGGCAAAAGAACAGATATTAATTAGATCATCCTCTTACGATAACATAAAGGTTCACATTGCAACATATACACACTGTGCAAATTAACATTTAGATTTGCACCTGCTCCAGACATGATGCAAATTTGCTCCTGGTGTAAATATACACACATGAGTAAACGCGTTCACATGACAAGTATAATCACGTATGTATTTCTACACTCGTATGCACATATACACACATATGTATAGAGGCGCATGTGAACGGGGTATAAGTCGCCAATGATGTCCTCATCTGGGAAACGACATTGAGCAGAATAATTCGAATATATGAGAGGTCACTGTCTTACCTGTGTTTTATTTCTGGGCTGATTGTTACTAATGTTCTGTTTGCTGACTTATGAATAATAACAGGTTCTGTTTATGTTGATAGCCAGGATTAAATATGTGGGAACAACACTTTTGTTTTCGAGACATCAAGTATTCTTGGGGATAAGACGTTTCAGTTAGGTAATGACAAGTGTGCTGGACCACTACATATTGGCCATACATTGGCCTCCAATATGTATTCGACTCGTAAAGATCCGGGGTAGAATAGGTCTTCAGAAACCCATGCTTGTCGTAAAATGCGACTATGCTTGTACTAACGGGATCGGGTGGTCAGACTCGCTGACTTCGTTGATGTATGTCATCGTGTCCCAATTGCGTGGATCGATGCTCATGATGTCAATCACTAGATTGTCTGGTCCAGACTCGATTATTTACAGACCGCCGTCATATAGCTGAAATAATGCTGAGTGCGGCGTAAAACAACAGACCAACCAACCAATATGTATTCTGAGTATGCAAATACCCGACAGTTCGATTTGCGCTGTCAACAAAAATATCATTTTAGCTGACCACCAAAATGCTACAAAATAATAATTAAATGATACTCGAGATAGTTACGGACATTGGTGTGTTTACATAATTACTTCTACACGTATAAGCAATGCAAATTATCTATAGCGGCGAGTGCCCCGGCTGTGATACAAGTATATTCAAAAATAACTTAAACCCTTTTTAATTCATTCACTATTAATCCAACGTCCACATGGTGTAAAATTAACGAATCAAATACATTTACACCAATTTGCAACGACGAGTCGAATAATATTTTGTGGTTGTGTCACCTCATATATGAGTTTGCAATTCAAATACACGGCGGCAGATTAATCAGATGCAAGCACACACGTCATGCTATTTCAGCTGGACAATAGAGGTAATAATTAGACTATTGGTCACATTCTTTTCAACTTCGTGCATATTGCGGGAAATGGGGACAAGTTATATCAGAAACTACTGACGTTCCATGAATGAAATAGGCATGTTTATCCAAGAAATACTTACCAAGACTGAGTTTGAACATTGGTGCCGTAAATTATTTTTTTACAGAGCTACGATCCTTGATCCATGTTATTTTACATATGCATTGTGTGTGCAATAGGGACAAATTTTCCCAGTAACTACTCAAGTTACGTTATTGAAAGTATACATGCTTATGAAAGACAGTGAGTGAGTGAGTTGGGTTTAACGCCGTTTTTAACAGTATTTCAGTCATATCGCGGCGTGTCAGCTTAATGTGGGAGGAAAGACCGAAGTGATGCAGGTCTCAGACGTTTACCAGTTCGGTGAATCCCATGAGCACGGGAATGGTGCTGACAAACCTAGAAACATAATCGGGGCGAACCGGGATCATAGGTTTCTGGCGTGCCCAAGGGACGCAACTCTGCACAGCGAATCGCGGCGCCTTAGACGACTGGGCCTCCCGTGCCCCCTTATGAAAGACAGACTTACCGAGACTGTGTTCGAACATTGGTGTCGTTACTAATCTTTTCACAGAGTTATGGCCCTTGCTCCAAGCTTTTCAACTGAGTGCATAGGGTCTGTGATGGGGGAGATGTTTCTCAGAAACTACTGAAGTTGGCTTATCTAAGAGATACTGATCAAGACAGTTCGAATTGGTGCCATAAATTGTTTTTTTCAGAGAAGGGTCCTTTTGTGTGTATTAATATCACATTTAATCGTTTTAACCGTCATCACCTTAAACAAACATATATTTTTCATAACTCTCATATCCTTTTTTTAATAGAAATGAGTTTTCTTGCACCTTAAATACTTTTTTTTTAAAGAAATGTATTTGCTCAAGAGGTTCTGAACTGTTGTCCAGTTGTAACCAGTAGTTGGGCTAAACACTTATCTTCCGTCTTTTGCGATATTTTAAGTTTTGACCTTGATCTGACCTTTGCACTTCGACCTTGCTCCTTATTCTCTCAAAATGCGTTCTAGGCTCTGCATACATGTACATAATCTTCTCATAAACCACTGGACCAGTGAAGCTAACCCTTCACATGCATGTTCATACATGTCCCTTGTTAGTTTCTACCCTTTGTTATTTTCCACCTTTTGTTGTCTTCTTATTTTGTTGTCCTTACATGTACATACATATGCTCCCTGCCTCATGGCATTCATTCACCACCTGAAGAAGGAGTAAGCATATACTCCGAAGCGTTGTGTTCCTCATAATAAAGAAGTTGACATCCATATATTCTCTTCCTCATGTTCATACAGTTGTAATAATATTTACATCTCCCCTGCTTCTCTACTAATTACACCTCTCTACACGAAGCATTAGATTCTTCGTATGGTAATTTTATCAGAACTTGACACTTGACTTAATTTTTATCAGCAACGTAGTTGCCGTATCAGCGCGTGCGCCACTACAAATTAAGGTCAAGGGTACAGGATACTCCAATGACAAAGCAATGTACACCACTTATGCCTCCTTCAATAGGTGTACGGTGATAAAGTTATGACATGGCATTTGTCACACTGCAGGGACAAGAGAAGGGTTCCTCTACACTTCAGTCGCCATTGACTGACATTGACGATGAGTGTTGATTCAGCCTTGTGACCATTCATTGCATTCCCTACTTATTACCACGTGACCCATGAAGGTCCGGGCTAGAATAGGTCTTCAGCAACCCGTGCTAGCCGTAAAAGGCGACTATGCTTGTCATAAGAGGCGACTAACGGGATCGGGTGGTCAGGCTCACTGACTTGGTTGATGCATGTCATCGTATCCCTATTGAGCAGATTGATGCTCATGATGTCGGTCACTGGATTGTCTGGTCTAGACTCGATTATTTACAGACCGCCGTCATATAGCTGAAATATTGCTGAGTGCGGCGTTACACAAAAAAAATAAAAATATGTTTAATAATTAAATTATATTAATTAATAATCTCTTTTTCAAACAAATCGGGTGATTGTGACAGTGAATAGGCCCCAGTATCCCATGCTTGTCGTAAGAGTATTACTTAGGCTACTGATTCCTAAAGATAATGCCACAGATTTATGCACACTATTCTGGTAGCTATTAACATCATGCGTGCTTCTTCTGTAACTGTAACTGATGAGGACAACACATGTTATCAAGACCAGTGTCATACCAACACAGTGTTAAAAACATTGCAAAATGTTAAGTTGTAAATTAACCGTAAATTCGTAAAAAAACACCTTTTATGTTTGTCAAATAAGATGTTTGAACAGATGGATGGTACAAGGGCAGTACAATGTACCAATGGTTGCCATCAAAGACGTTATGGTACACATCAATGGTACACATAGTTTATTCATTTTGGGAGCTATTTTCAGTTTTTAACAATGTTTGCTATATTGTCTCGCAATTTAAATCTCCAAAGTTGTCAAAACCTTAAAATACTTCAGCAACATCCCCGTGGGACATCTTCGGTATCTATTATGATAACAATATGTTAGGAAGATGTCCAGATTCCCCATGGTTAGTCAACGCTGATTATCTCGCTGATAGACAAAGCAGCGCCCTGTTTGTTGATAAACACTTAAAGTTGACCTTAGGTCAGTCCCCAGCCCAAATGGCATGTTATTCGTAAACCAACGCCTCCAAAGATCCAGTCAGATTTACCGACCATCTGACCACTCAAAATATCCCTATCCAATGTTGACTTTTGTATTTCAAAACGTTTGAAATAGTATATAATCTACTGAATAAATAGCCTTTTCAAAATTAATTAATGATAGTAAGCGAGGAATTTAGTATGTTGCTGTACGTTCCATCTCTAGTTACTTCCTCTTCGTCAATAATATTTGGCAAAACAATTTTAATTCTCTTAGCTGTTGCAACTGAACCGATTTCAAATGAGGTATTTACAGTTATATTATAATCGGGCGCTAATGTTTCACAAAACGTTATGGATTACTTTACCTAGAGATACAAGTAATAAATTCTTGTTTTTGTGAATCTGACAAACTACCCGTCTAATAGCCGAAATTAGGGAATATATCAAATACTGGCCTTAATCATTCCCACTGTTCTAAAAAATAAACAGGGTTTAGACATTTCTTTTCACTTTCCATTTTGTAAGAACTAATTGATTTCCTCCCTACTAAGTTCCCCTTCCAGACATACTGAATCTGACTGCCTCCGTTATCTAGTGGTAGAGCGTCCGCCCGGAGAGGGGAACGTTCGGGGTTCGATCCCCGCCTGCGTATTACCAAAATACGTTGAAAGATGGTACTTGTTGTTACCCTGCCTGGCGCTCGGCATTAAGGGGCTTTAACAAGGACTGGTCGGCTCGGAGTCAGTATACAGCACACACACACACACACACACACACACACACACACACACACACACACACACACACACACACACACACACACAGGTGTGTAAATGCAATATTAAACCCCATTTCACCTCACCTCACCTTACCTCACAAACTTAATCTTGAAAACGTATTTTTTATGGCTTCATCTTTAAATAATGTTCCTAAATTAATTGGTGAGGCGAGTTGAAATGCGCGCATGCGCGCGCGTTTTTGTGTGTGGCTGCTTGTACTAGCCCGCAATATTGCCGGTTGTATAGAGCTAGCTCACTGGGATACCATGACGCAGTTTTAACATGGACACCCCGCTCAGACAAAGTTTACTAACTCCGTGCCGACCAGTCGCTGTCTTGTCCCCATAATGCCGAGCGCCAAGCAGGATACCAACAAGTACCATCTTTTAACGTCTTTTGGTGTGACTCAGCCGAGGATCGAACCGTGGACCGTCCGCTACCCGTTCTATCAACTAGACCACGGAGGCGGTCTCTAAATTAATTGGGCTAACATCTTGTTCCTTTTACAATTTAGCATAAGATAATCTAGTTTCATTTAAACTTTCATCTATATCCTGCCACTTGCTCAATCGATTTTGCTTTCGATCTTATAAACAGACCCTGATGTTTGGATTTCATCCAGTACATTTAGTTGTGTGACACTCACGATACTAACACATGATTGCTTCATACAAACAGTACACATCAAAATGTTAATGCATTATTCATATGTATCAGTGAGAAGATAATTAAAGCAAATGGTGAGGAAACATAAAGGGTTTCAGATGGCTGTTACCAACTATTGATCACATGCAATAACACATGTGTATCGCTGGTACTTGTGAATGGTACATACGCAATGACAAAACATGTTTGGCTTTCAGGCCGCCGTCGCATGGCAGGAGTACTACTGTATAGCGTCCGTCAACAAACGCTTACTTAATATGTATGCACATTCTGTGGGTGGTGGATCCTACCGGTAGGGCAGGACAAGATTACCCTTTTCCCAAACACCTGGGGCCATCACTGAGTTTCAGTCATCTATTCATATAAATTTCACCGCTATCTTGACTTTTATACGTCCAATGAAACTTGTTTCTGCAGTTAACCGAGAATGAATATTCCCTGGCGTCGACGTTTTATATTTATCAGAATTCTTTAGAATTTCTCACTTAGTTCAGGGTAAGTATTAGGCAGTCGAAAAAATGTTTTTAGGTCCAACGGGTGTTGCGGGCACGGGTGCTTCAGACGTCTAAGGCGCCGCAATTCCCTTTGCGTCCGTTAGGTATGCCAGGAACCTATGATCGAATCCCTGTTGGCCCTGATTCCGTTCTTGGTTTGTCAACACCATGAGCTCGTGGCTTTCACTAAAGTGGTAAACGTCCAAGACCTGCTTTTCGGACATTTCCCAAACATAAAGCTGACCCGCCATGGCATAACATTGGACAATGTCGTGACAAGTTTTGGAATCTGGACGCCTATTTTCTCTGCCATCCACGAGGCAGGGAAATAGATATATCATCCGAGACAAAGACAGATGATACCCAATATATGTGTAAAACTATTGACAAATGTCATATTAATAGCATCATTATCTGAAAGACTAATATTACTCCAAAGCGATCTGGTAAAATGATACAGCCACAAATGGAGTCTATATTATCCGCTAACTACTTCATTTTGTACTTAAAGTATTCCAAATTACCATTAGACAACGTTAGAACTTGTGAAGTTTTAAAAATAAATTTGTGTTACCTTTTATCAAGCTATATCAAAATGAACATTTATCAATGCTACATAGATATATTTTTAGACTATTATCTTCACCTGGGGCTTCAGTCGATGTCAACAAGTACTTGTTTTCACTTCTTCAATCATCTTCATTGTTCAACTCGGGTTTGACACGAACCATATTCAAGCTATATTTCGTCAATTTACACAGCACCCAATGTACCAAGGTATGTAATCGAACAAAGTTTTCGGTGTCGGCCAGGGCAACACTTAACAGAAGAGGAGATACACGGTCTTCATCTTCAAGAGAAAACCAACGAACCATTCACATATGCAGGTGTTCCTTTGTGTTGATCATCAATTCCCTTTCAACCTTCCCAGGTGTTGACGTATAATATTTCCCTGTTTGTTAACGGTATAAGGCCGTATCAAAGGAATATATATTATATATAATAGATCACTCTTTCTATTAGTTTTTCACTGTTGGTGGAGTTGAACAATCGGAGTAATAAAGCAAGCATGAAAGAAACATTGGGCTCAAGATTACAAATCAATATTTGCAAAGTATAAATAGGTTGAGGGACGGACGAACTAAAGATGCAAAACCGAGTTTACAGATTATGGATTTTTTTTACACATGTTCAAATATAAATAAATTGAACTCAATGACACTGTGATGGAATTCATATAATTACTTTTAAAGATTAAAGTAGTTTAAAGTGGCGGGGCCCGTTTGTAGATAATTATGTTACAGTAATACCATGTAAAGTCGAATGCAATTACTGAAAAGATAATAATGCAACAGAATCGAAATATAAAATCCTTTCTATGAACCATATGTTATTTATTAAATGACCTCTAAGTTACGAATACTGGTAATAACACTCTTGTGGGGTTTTTAGAGTACAATAACACCATCTGATGCAAAAGAAATGTTTTTTTCATTCATTATGATGGAATATAATACAAATAGTCATCAACATTTATCACCAAATTTGAAACCAAATTTGTGCATCTTCATCAAAAAAGTGTTTTTGTTCTTTCTACAACTTCTCGGATTTGTCCCACAAAGAGCGACAATTCGTTCTGGAAATATGTCACTGAAAAGCGCAGCATTTTTAAAAGAGCGGTTAGCTATCTCAAACGTTTCCATCAAGATAATTCGAAACTCGAAAATAATTAACGTTCGAACCGGCGCAATTATTCAAAGAGCCCATCTTTAACTATACAAAGACCGTACAGCGCAGTCAGTGACATGTGAGCATTCATTCATGAATATATACAATGGTAACTCTATCAATTCTAAATATTGTATGAGGCTAGCTGGATTATTAAGACACTCCATGGACATAGGGACAAAAAGTCGTCACGGTGCTCAGTTATGTATTTGAGTATTGAAGATCTCTTTCGTAGTACGACAGGCACAATAGGATTATCTGTGTAGACTACCACCACACAAATAATCTCTTAACCATGAACACATCACATGGCGAGTTTTTCCGGATTATATCATATTTTCTCATATGGATTGAAGTCACCAATGCAAGCATTAGATTTGGACGTCTTGTACATAAATCGGAAGCTTACGATGACAGATTGCTGAATCTTGAATCCAAATGGACTCATGAGGTGTCTACACTACTTAACTGTGTCTCAATATGTTCCTTGGATGAACTGTGTGTTAGTTTCCAATTTAACGAGGCTGATGCAATTTGCGCCGGCTACGTGGTCAACTCTGCCAGTAGTCCAAGCAGCGTCAGAAGCCCAGGCTATGTGATGTTTGACATGGGACGATGTAAGTATAATTTACATCACATGCTAAGATGAAGGGTTCGTTGAAATCAGGGTATATATTAGTATTTGGGAAGAGGTGAGCAATTGTTTAACTCCTGGAATGCCTTTTCGGCTGCCTTAGGCCGTGTGAAGGTGACGTTTTTGTGTGCAGTAGGCTGTGTAGGGGAGTAGCTATCATTACATAACCCTTCATGAATTTGCGATAATAGGACGTGAGGCCGAATATTGCTCGCAATTCACGGATGTTTTGACACTCTCCACTTTAAAGGAATCCGTACTCCGTAGATACCTCTTCCTTAGAGATACAGTAAACTACGCTTATAACGAACACGCTTATAACGAACTTCCGGATATAACGAACTGTTTCTTGGTTCCGTCCATTTTGTGCATATATGTTGTACATATGCTTAAACGAACTACGGTTATAACGAATAAAAATAAGTGGTTATTTGAGTTCGTTATAACCGTAGTTTACTGTAACATATTCTAGATAGGGAATTTCCTTCACCGCAGGGTTTGTGTTTCAGCCCAGCCTCCCTAAATTTGTTGAATACTGCTTCTAAATGTGGGAGGTGTTCTTCAAAGTACGAGCAGGTCGTCCAAATATGTTAAACCTTATTTGTAAGACATTCACGAGAATATTGCGGACATAATGAAAGCAAAACAACTGGGGGCGTTGACAGGTCCGAAGGGCATGGCCTTAAGTGGAACTGACCGTCACCAGGGGCAATGCTTTTTGTCACTATGTTTTTGTTCTTCAGATAAGTCATATTGGCAGAGGTCAATATCTAGTTCAGCTGCTCGTTGTCTCAAGTCAGCAGCAGTGGGATTGCCAGTGAAATATATATGATTGATTGTCTTAAACAGATCAGATGGGATGTGGCTGAGTTGGTCTGAGTCAAAGTTGGGAACAAGTGACTCAAACATAGCAACCCGCGTCCGTGGTCTAGGGGTAGAGCGTCTGCCCGAAAAGTGGAAGGTCGGGTGGTCGCGTCATATCAAAAGACGTTAAAAGATGGGACTTCTTGTTACCTTGCCGGGCGCTCGGGATTTTTGGTACGGTAGAGGCCGTCGACCAGTTATCGCGATGTTTTACGTGTTGTTTCTGAAATAGTCCGTGTATAAAGTTGAATGTACCTATAAAAGTAACTGTTACAATGCGACTAGAGGGAATGAAATACAGTGTGAACAGGACTTCTCGATTATACTACAAGACGGATTCCTGAAAATTAGTGATGACACCAGGTGTTCGCGTAAAGGGTAAGAATGCCGTGCCCCACCGGTAGCACCCGCCACCCACAAAATTTGCATAAAAGAAAGTGTTCATTGCCTGACGTCGCAGATCAGCCCTCCTGCCATGCGACGACGGCCTGTAAACAAACCAGATCGATGGGATCGATGGACCTGAAAATCCAGTGATACGATATCGTTTTTATTGATTTTGTGATGTGATGTGTTAATTGTGAATTACACCTGCTGTGTACAAAGTGCAGAGACTCACACCATTAACAAGTCCGAATCAAGTATTTAACACTCATGGTGGAAAAAGTAGTAAATATAATTTCAGTGTAAGAAAACCTGAACCTGACATACATATTGATTTATGAAAGTCAAAGTTTGAGTGGCTATCCTACTAAATATGTCATACATATGTCAACACTCTGAGAAGTCTTGAAAATTAACTTCGTAGGTTTTAGATCAATAACCCAAAGGACCAAAAACACTTTTCAATAAAGCTTCGGAAACAAAAGGTATGTCTACACATATCTAATGCAGGAATATTATTGTTAATTTAATAAACATGACTATTGCCTGATACAGTAAACTACGTTTATAACGAACACGCTTAAATAACGAACTGACCGATATGACGAACTTATCTTTTAGTTTCGACCATTTGTTGTAAAAATGTTGTATATATGCTTATAACGAACTACGGTTATTGCGAACTAAAATAAGTGGTCCCTTCGAGTTCGTTATAACCGTAGTTTACTGTAGTTAGTCATGTTAATGAGACTACAGTCCTAATCAATCTGAGTAGTAGATTCACCAGCTATGGACGTGTGGATTAAAAATTGAGATTCATTTCAAAGTAAATTAAATTTTGTGAAAACCTGATTTTGAATTGTTGCTTAAGTGAACATTCTATAAATATTCATACACATGTTAATACTCTGAACCCAACAAAGTCACACGCTACTGCTTCTTTAACAGAAAAAAGGTATACATATCTGTGAAAGCCACGTGTATTTATAACCTCTCTGTTTTGGGAATAGACCTCTGGACATAGAATGTTTCCGTTTATACACAAAGTATGTTTGGTTGGCCAGATCTAATTACCGTATTTGACGTAATAAGCGTCCCGCTCTAATAAGCGATTGATCAATGTACACAGGTCTTATTTACTCGCGTATAATACGCACTCGTGTGCTATAAGCACCCTTAATTATGGGCAATTAAATTCTGGAAAAAATATATCTGTCGTATATAAACATTTCAGGCTCTCAGCATAAACCAAGAAATTTATCTTTCAATTCTGTTTTTTTCCACCAAAATAATATTCTAATAAGAGCCCCCTATTTCTAATTTTGAGAGCGCCCTGGGCGCTTATTACGTCGAATACGGTACTTTGATCTCTTCGGACAATACATCTTTATTGCAGAGTGGAGAATACATACAAAACATAAAAGTGATACATTTTCTTGTTATGGTGTCACCTGGTCATTACATCTACCCTTCATATCAGACAGTCTGGTGCTTAGCATTATGGGGCTAAAACAAGGACTGGTCGGCTCGGCTACTGTGTCTGAGTGGGGTATTCATCTTAAGCTGCGGCATGCTTTCAGTGGACTAGCCCTATAAAATTGTCATTAGTCCGGACTTGTACAAGCACACACACGTGTATGTACATCTCTATATAAATGCAATATTCTTATTAATCAACATAATATAAGTGTTAGAGGATTCCTTCTTGGCCCCTTTCTGTTAAGATGGATTCATATATTGATTTACAATGCTAGTGTTATTCAAATGGTCATCTTCTCGTTCTTCAGTAATGGTAGGGGTCTGCATGTAAGAGGACGCAGTTCCTCCGTAGTTATTCATTCTGGAAACTGACATTCTTGGAAACATGATTTGAAATGATAATGACATGAACGTAAATTATGCCTGTATACTGACTACAAAGTTCACTTTGACATCATGAGCATCGATCAATGCAATTGGGATACGATGACATGCATCAACCAAGTCAGCGAGCCTGACCACCCGATCCCGTTTGTCGCCCCTTACGACAAGCATAGTCGCCTTTTAGGGCAAGCATGGGTTGCTGAAGACCTATTCTAAGCTTGCTGTTCTCCCAAAACCTCTTCGTCAGTCTGGCGGGGGATGATGGACGCTCTGCCTGTTGATCTCATCATCGAAGGTGATGTTCTTTGTAATGATGGGGCCCAGGTAGGTGAACTGGCTCACTGCCTTCAGCTCGTAGAACTTGATGTAGATTCCTGTAGGCTGCTCGACGCGGAGGGTCATCACGTTTGTCTTGCCTTGATTCTGCCCATAATTCAACCTGTGATTCGGAATACACCCTATCAAGCAAGTCTCTGTCGTCTGCTCAGGGCAACACATACTGCCTTAGGAACTCCGACTCCCGTTAGACCTATCCGGGGATGGGCACAGCTGCATGGCAGCGGGGATTTGGAATGATAATGTACACAAGTTGCTTGAGGTCTCCTAGTCATTTTCTTGTATTAATAGCCGACTAAAAGACTGCTGGCAAAGGTCGCGCGTATTTTCAACACATATTGTCGACACTACATGTTCAACTTTATTCGGATCAAAATATAAGAAATGATTTCATGAACAAATTTGGAGAAGGTGACCTAAGAATAGATGTCTTGAGAAGCTTTTATCTCAACCCAAAAAACATTTAATTCTAAACGGTTATATATTAAAACCATCATTTGTCACAACCTAGTATCTATCCAAACCGCTCTTACCATGGCTCTTATCTATCCACTCTGTTCTTTCCATGGCTATGATCTATCTACTCTGTTCTTCCCATGGCTATTATCTATCCAATCAGTTGTTCCCATGGTTATTATCTATCCAATCAGTTCTTCCTATAGCTATGAGTTATCCAATAAGTTCTTCACATGTCTATTATCTATCCAATCGGTTCTTTCCATGGCTAGTATCTATCCAATCAGTTTTTCCCATGGCTCTTATCTATCCACCCTGTTCTTCCCATGGCTAGTATCTATCTAATCAGTTCTTCCCATGGCTATTATCTATCCAATCCGTTCTTCCCATGTCTATCATCTATCCAATCCGTTCTTCCCATGGCTATTATCTATCCAATAAGTTCTGTCCATGGCTATTATCTATCCAATCGGTTCTTCCCATGGTAATTAGCTATCCAATCAGATCTTCCCATGGCTATTAGCTATCCAATCAGTTCTTCCCATGGCTATTATCTATCCAATCAGTTCTTCCCCTGGTTATTATCTATCCATTCAGTTCTTCCCACGGCTATTATCTATCCACCCTGTTCTTCCCTTGGCTATTAACTATCCAATCCATTCTTCCCATGGCTATTATCTATCCAATCAGTTCTTCCTATGGCTATTACCTATCCAATCAGATCTTCCCATGGCCATTAGCTATCCAATCAGTTCTTCCCATAGCTATTAGCTATCCAATCAGTTCTTCCCATAGCTATCTATCTATGCAATCAGTTCTTCCCATGGCTATTACCTATCCAATCAGTTCTTCCCATGGCTATTATCTATCCAATCTATCCGATGAGCGAATGAAGTAATCCCTTGCTGTCCGAAATGTTTCGCGAGGTAAACGCCCCCAAGAAGATGTTTGTCTGCGCTTTGGGAAATCGCTGCATGAACTTTAGACAGGGATATATTTTGCCCGGGGATCACCGAAAGCTCCCTTGGTATACATGTTTTAATATGCATGGCTTTAATGATATGAAAAATTCCTTTACAACGCCACTGACAACATACACAACAAATTTAGGTCTTTCCGTAAATGCGATGGTTAAATGTGGGTATGATGGATGAGACATAAACATTATTGATTATTCCGGATGTTGTAGAAACTATCATCATAGGATATAAACCATCCTTTCCTGAAGTCATCGTTGCGGGTGGTCCAGGCGTCTTTGGTGCCCTGCATTGACACATATGACACCCAGTGTTATTTCCAAGCGGCGTGTAAAACAACTCGCTCACAGCCGCTGGGGTCCAATGCTACTCTCGATCACTATGTCGTCCAAACATTCTGCCAGGTTATTGGACGTAGACGCTTTGGAAAACATGGCATATTCGACTTCTTCTTTGACTTCGGCAGAGTTTCGCTCAGGTTATTTTTGGTGTTTCACAAAATTATTATTTTCTTCTGTTGTCAGCTCCCCAGACATTTGGCTCCAGCTGTTCCGTTGATGGTGATTGCACTTTCAAAAGACACACTTCCTGTGTGGCGGGATTCTGCCAGTGTTCCACCTCACGGACAGGGGACGAGTGTGAAGGTACAACGTCGATTAAACAGATTATATCATTATAATTGGTAAAATGTAACATATTGTTCGCAAATATTTGACTTCAAACGAATACCTGATATGAATGACATAAGTTGAAAGATATTTAATGGATGGGTTATTCTAGGAGTGACAGGCGTTCAAACGACAGCCATTGGAACACAAACGGCAACCACAACCGACCCTGCAGCGAAGACAACCAACACTGCAGCACAGGCAACCACCACTGCAGCGCAGACAACCACCACTGCAGCGCAGACAACCACCACTGCAGAACAGGCAACCACCACTGCAGCGCAGACAACCACCACTGCAGCGCAGACAACCACCACTGCAGCACAGGCAACCACCACTGCAGCGCAGACAACCACCACTGCAGCACAGGCAACCACCACTGCAGCGAGGGCAACATCCACTGCAGCGCAGACAACCACCACTGCAGCACAGGCAACCACCACTGCAGCACAGGCAACCACCACTGCAGCGCAGACAACCACCACTGCAGCACAGGCAACCACCACTGCAGCGCAGACAACCACCACTGCAGCACAGGCAACCACCACTGCAGCACAGGCAACCACTACTGCAGCACAGTCAACCACCACTGAAGCACAGGCAACAACCACTGAAGCACAGGAAACCACTACTGCAGCGAATGACTGCGGGAGTTGTACCGTGATCCCTGGCATTGCATGTACTACAAATGTAGACTGCATTGAGCCTAACAGCTTTTGCCAAGGAGGGAACTGCCACTGCCTGTTGAACACAACGCTTGTTTCAAAAGGCACCTTGTTTCTTTGTGAATACGGTAATAAATCATATCCACAAATATTAGAGACACTCTAATAAATACCATATTTTGAACACAGCAGCATCGCACATGAAATACGAGTAACACTATCATATGAGAAGCAACTGTTATTTTCTGCAAACATGTCATGATCTTTCCTCAGGTTCAGTTTTGATAGGTTAATTGTTCTATGAATTATCAACAAATCAAAGTCTTCAAAAGAGTCATTGTAACGAGTTAAATAGGGCATAACCCTTTCATCATGTGTAAGATAGCTACTACATGCATATTCGACACGCTTTATTTATTGTATCAAAATCAAGTTCATATACCAGAATTGTGTTGTCAGAACCATGTCTCATAGGTTATACCAAAGTGGCACATGCTTATTGCGTCACCTTTGACTGCCCTCCCCTGATACACTGGCGCACCGAATGTCACTGACATACTGTTACATTGCATCCTTCACTCAACATTGCAGCGCAGCCCACCTGTGGCAGCGGGAGCAACTGTGCCGGTCTGGTTAACTCAGCATGTGAAGGTGGCGTGTGTACCTGCAGCATCGGATATAACTATAGCCCCATCTCAAACGCCTGTGACAATGTTAAAAGTGAGATAACATTATTCAAGGACGCGTTCCTTCACAATACTTTTCTATACAATGTGGGTGTACAGTTATATAACGTACCATCATGACAGTGAGTGAGTGAGTGAGTGAGTGAGTGAGTGAGTGAGTGAGTGAGTGGTTGGTTGGTTGGTTGGTTGGTTGGTTGGTTGGTTGGTTGGTTGATTGATTGATTGATTGATTGATTGATTGATGTGACATGACGCTGAAGAAAATTGGTTGAAACTAAGGGAGGGCGTTCATTTCGAACCTGATACAAATAATCAATCAATGCATTTAATATTTTATTTTTCTCCAGATTGTACAGAATTCCTGGACACATTTACAGTTTATTTGGGATTCTACAGCTTTTATTCTGAAGACGAGAGGCGCCCAGTGGGATCCATGCAGGAGTGTTCGGACATGTGTGTCGGCTCCACAACCATCACCTGCAAGAACTTTGAAGTGAATGCAGTTACTGTATTAATACAAACATGCTACTTGCACCAGACAACGTGGTTTGAATTTCCAGCTTCGCTGCAATCATTATTACTAGGTCTCTTCAACCACCATCAGCGTAACTGTGATTGGAAAGCAGGTGAATCATATTCATCTAAAAAATACTTTTGTTTGTTTGTTGTTTAACGCCGCTATCAGATATATTCCAGCTATATGACGGCGGTCTGTGAATAATCCAGTTTGGACCAGACAATCTAGTGATTTGGGATACGATGACAAGCATCAACCAAGTCAGGGAACCTGACCACCCGTTCCCGTTAGTCGCCTCTTACGACATGCATGGGTTGCTTAAGACCAATTCTAACCCGGAATCTTCACGGGTCCATATTAAAACTAGGCCCCATATTAAAACTGAAGCCTCTTTGCCCAAGAGGTGAAGTGAAATGGGGTTTAACGTCGCGTCCAAGATCATTGCACTTATATAGCGACGTGCATGCACGTGTGTGTGTGTGTGGCTGCTTGTACTAGTCCGGACTGATGCCGATTTATAGTGCTAGCTCACTGAGATACCATGCCGCAGTTTAACATGAATACCCCACTCAGACACAGTATACTGACTCCGAGCCGACCAGTCCTTGTTTTAGCCCCTTAATGCCGAGCGCCAGACAGGGTAATAACAAGTACCATCTTTTAACGTCTTAAACACGATGTGAACAACTTTTTGTGAAATTGATCGTGTGAACTTTTGCCGGAACTACTTTCCGGGGTTTCCCCGAAGTCTCGATCGGTGTTTACGATCAACTCGTTTTCTATTTTCTTTTTAATACCTGCATTTATCAGCAATATAATTAATTTAGTAATTTTGCCTGGCCTTGTAACATTTCATCTGACTTATAAATAAATAAATGCTTTGGCTCTGGTGATTGATGTCGTCTAGCTGCTGTATGAAACAAAATGGATTGTCCTTGCGGTGATTTGTATATGGAATGGCTATCTTTCAATACTAATAACGCGAGTGAAGAAAATTAATTCTGTAAAATTACTGAGGTGAACGAAATTGATTTATTGAGTTATATTGACTTTGATACCTTGTTTTCGGAAATAAGAGGAATCTAGCACCAATGAAAACAATGTCGTACCCTGCTCAGATGTGGCCGCTGACACAGCAAACGCAACTGCTCCTGATCACTCCCAAACTAAAACCCGATTTACTATCGTATCGGGAAAATCTAAGATTTTGTGAAACTATAAAACATAAAAAGGTAAGGAAAGAAACTTAACTTTAAAAAAACCCACCAAAAACCTGCCTACCTGTTTTACCGATTGGTCATCGGAGACGAGAAAAAAACCGTAGACGGAATTAGAACTCTACTATTCCGGTTTCTGAGTTGGCCGACCTTCTCCGTGCATTCTAGGCCGAGAAGCAGCGTCACGTGAGGAGTGATGGGGCACGTACAGTGATGAAGCTGGCATCAGGTCATACAGTAGGTCAATTTCAGGTGACAAGAAACACCAGCTAAGCAAAGTATTACAGCACACGCGACAAATCCCAAACTCCAAATATCACAAATCCTGACGTTGAAAATTAACACAAAACACCCAGGTTTCAGAGCACTCGGTTCAATCCCCACCAGTCCATTCCGCATCGTCAGAATTGGTTTGCGATTATCCAAACACAAGCAACACATTCATAAATCGGTGATATTCCAAATTTGCTAGTGCCACGGGAGGGTTCACGCGTCGGGGTGTTTTCCATAACTGTTCCATAAGCGTCATTTTCAAGAGCAGTAAGTATAAATTTCATCCTCATGCTCCCGTACGCGTTCAACTCGAAATGCACCTCTTTGCAAACTTATGTGACGTCATATATAAATCCGCGCTTGAAGGTTGACCTCGCCTCGGTGCATCGATGTCATGTTTATATTTTTGTTCAACTTCCTGTAACCTGTTTTTAAGATTTGATTTATCCCAAAGGTTGTTTGTAAATTTGTTCAGAGAATGAAATTATGTCGACATATTTCTAGATTATGTTGTATATATTCAAAGAACTATTTTTCTTTGCGTAACTGAGTATGAGTGGGGAAAGGCATGTGACCGAGAGCCGTCAAATACCGACAAAATAACGTTGTTGCAATGTTCTTCGGCGAAATCAGAGGACTTCAAATTTAAGCAAACATTGTTACGATATTATTCTCGCGAGACCAGTAAACTACAAAGTATGAAATTATAAGAATTGAAAGTCAGCTTGGATGGGTTCATTGAAGTGTGAACGATTTATAAGCGCTGGTTAAACTGTCTTAAGTAATACAGCGACGGACTTTTTGTATTGACTATGAATATTATTTCTGTCACAGTGACCGTTGACACTGCCTGCAGAGCTAATGTTGATTGTTCCCCGTTGACTAACGCCCAATGCTCCGCGGGGAACTGCGCATGCAACACCGACCACCGCCTTGTCCCCAGGGTCAATAAATGTCTCCCATTTCAAGGTAAACTTTTATCACTTCATTCTTTTCTTCAGCTCATCATGTCTTTACCGGACACCAGGGCCCACTTGCACAAAGCGATCTTAGCGCTAAGATGATCGTAACTCCCATACTTTAACATAGGCTTACAATAGTCGTAGCGCTAAGATTGCTTTGTGCAAGTGGGCCCTGGTGTCATCACTGATTCTAAGTGATCCATTCATATAAAGTTCACCGCTAATTTACCTTTAACGCCCAAAGGAATCTGTTTCGTCTAGAATTCGAGACTGGTTTTTCTCTGGCGTTGACGTTTTAAATTAACAACAAAACTCACTGTATCCAGAATCGCCTGTGCCAATAAAATGTACGTTGATACATTAGTGCAAATAAAATACAGTAAACTACGGTTATAACGAAATCAAAGGGACCACTAAGTTTAACTCGTTATAACCATATAAGCATATGTACAACATAAACCGTAAACTACGTTTATAACGAACACTCTTATAACGAACTTATTTTTTAGTCCCCGCTATTTGTTGTATAAATGTTGTATATACGTTTGTAACGAACTACGGTTATTTCGAACTAAAATTAGTGGTCCTTTCGAGTTCGTCATAACCGTAGTTTACTGTACACACTAAATGTACGGAACCAAGAAACCGTTCGTTATATCCGGGAGTTCGTTATAAGCGTAGTTTACTGTACACATTATCAATATCATTTGTCGTAACAAGCTGATAACATTGTGTCATAAAGGTCCAACCATTGTATTGAGTAAGTTTGTTTCTGTACAACATGCGGGGTGGGTGGGGTGTAGGGTGATCGTAAGAACCATGTTAGCGGTTTCAGTTCCATATTCTTCCTTATTAGGTATACAACGTCAGTTCCATATCAATGCTCATGGCATTCACCTACATCTGGTAGAATACGTCATCTGATGTATCGAGGCATCATGTTCTCATCCAAGGTTTTTTTCTTTATACTTCCTTGGTCAAATGTGTTAAAATAATCACCACCAAGTTTCTGAATATATTGATCATCATCACCGCTTGTGCAATGGCAATGAGTTCCCACGAATGTACACTCTCTCTCTCTCTCTCTCTCTCTCTGTCTCTCTCTCTTTGTCTCTCTCTGTCTCTCTCTCTCTCTCTCTCTCTCTCTCTCTCCGTTACCGTATTCGACGTAATGGGCGCTCAGGGCGTACTCAAAATTAGAAATAGAGGGCTCTTATTAGAATATAATTTTCGTGAAAAAATGTTAAAAGATCGTAAATTTTATGGTTTATGCTGACAGCCTGAAATGATACAAAAGAAACGTCTGTGCGTATTATACACGACATATATATTTTTCGAGAATTTAATTGCCCATAAATAAGGCTGCATATAACACAATAAGTCTTGTGTATATTGATCAATCGGAATGGGTGCTAATTGGGATTGTTCACCAGCCAATATATTAGCAAATGTCGCCGTGGGCGCTTATTAGAGTGGGGCGCTTATTACGTCGAATACGGTATATCAAACTCAGTGCCTCAGATAAAAACGCATCGGCAGCTGTTTTCAATACACTTCTTCCAACAATTCCAGCTTACGGCAAAAGCTGTGCTGCTGACTCTGACTGCTACTCGCTGCTTGAAGCCTTCTGTCTGTCTGGAGTGTGTACATGTAGACACGGCTACAGCTATTCATCGACAGGGCAGTACTGCAGGGCGATTACAGGTAAGCGTATTTATCTACCGTACTTAATCGTACTGATCTTCTGTAACAGACATCTTGAGTTAGTGCTTCAACAAAGTGGGTAAATAGACTGGCAATTTTCTCTGAACACACTTGGTATATTTATGAGTGAGTGAGTATGGTTTTACGCCACTTTTAGCAATATTCCAGCAATATCACGGCGGGGGACACTAGAAATGGGCTTCACACATTGTACCCATGTCGGGAATCGAACCCGGGTCTTCGGCGTGACGATCGAACGCTTTAACCACTAGGCTACCCGACCGCCCCGGTATATTTATGTTTACTGTGGCACTGCATATTTGACGTTGAATGATCTCTCTTGGGAACACCCCAGGTAAGTTGACAGCTGAACTGCATATCTCTGGTAAGAGGCCACTAACGGGATCGGGTGGTCAGGCTCGCTGACTTGGTTGATGTATGTCATCGTATCCCAATTGCGTGGATCGATCAATCAATCACTGAATTGTCTGGTCCAGACTCGATTATTTACAGACCGCCGTCATATAGCTGGAACATTGCTGAGTGCGGCGTAAAATAAAAAACAAAACAAACAAACGAACAAACAAAGCATATCTCTGTCTACCTGTCGATATTTCGGTAAGTAAGGGACATGAATCGAATGTAGATGACTTGTACATGTGTAGAAATGTGTTATCTACGGCCAGAAATACGCTTGTCAATAAGCGTATAATAAAAAAATCGCCTTGGATATCGAATGTAAACAAACCGGCAAGATGGCGAGTGACGCTCTTTTTCTCTCCTTACATATAGGGGGCATATATTTTTATTTACTGACCAATAACGAGTTCCTGTGGTATATTGGTGTCAAAAACAGACGCATGAGTATAGACAATATATATTGATAGAGGAACTGTTCCTGTTTCCAAAGAGACAATAAGAACGCATTTATATGCTATCTGCTGTATGCTGAATTCAATCACCACACCTAAAACGTGAACAGCAAGAACGATGATTAAGCTGGTGTTTTGAGCAGAGAAGTTTCAATGTTTTGGACAATGTAATGTTCTCAGATGAACGTTCAATGTGGCTAGATCCAAACTGCATAAAAATGTGGGCCAAAGCTACAGAAAAAAAAAATTTACAAGTGCCCGAAGTACAGTTCTAAATTTCATGTGTGGGGTGGGGTGTCTGTGTTGGGTGCCACACCATTATGTGTATTTCAAGGTAACATGACTAGTGCAGTGTACATTGGAGTTCCACAGGGACATCTCCTTCCAACAGCACAAGTTTTGTATGGTGACGGGTGGGTATTCTAGCTGCTTGAACCCAACTGAAAATATTTGGGGAATCACGAAGGACAATATCAATCATAAATCTAAAGACATAAGTGTGATATGAAAGCAGAGGTTGTGAGATATTGGGACAGTATGACTCATAATATTACTAGCTTCCCTGATGGGCAGTATGATTCGCCGCAGGTAAGCAGTGTTTATTGGACAAACATATCTTTTGGCTTATGATTAAATACATGTATAATTTACAATGTTCTCATTCTCAATAATTTCTGGTCACATTATATCCAAGGTCATGATAATTTACCTGACAGCTTAGCTCAGAAGCATTGAGAAAATAATGAATCTGATTCAGTACATGAAGTAGCATTACTTATATTTCTTATTTCAGAATGCACAACGTTTAAAGACACATTCACCACGTACCCCAACTCTATGATTTTTCTCAATGACATCTGGTCTTTTCCATTCTCTAACCCAACCAAATGTAAACAGAAGTGTATCGATTCGGGTATCTTCTGCAAGTCTGCCGACTTCAGCTCTTTGGGTTTATGCTTTACGTCTGCGATCACCTGGAAAGAGCCTGTCGATGATGCCTCCAGATTTGACAATAGCCATACCCACTTTCAGCGCGACTGTGACTGGTCTTGAGAAACGACAGCTGTTTCAACAAGCGGAACTGTGGACGACCCTTAACCAGCTGAGATCTAATTGTGACTCAACTTTTATTCAAACAAACACAAAACTCGCTTATCCAACAGGAATATGCATTTATAACAACCTTTTATTTACACCCTATCACACCAGTATCTGTGCGCCTCGACACAAGTTGCCTGGTACTCGTCGGGTATATTTATTCTGTGCAGAAACTGATGTTAGTGGTCACGAAGGCTGCTGAATGTTTGGTGATGATCCAAGAAGTGAGCCACTTTTGGCCTTCCTCCCATTTCGTGAAAAGACTGAAATACTGTTCACTGCGGCGTTCCTCATTTATCCTACTGAATCCTAAACAAATAAGAGTTGAATAGACTTCATGAATTAATTGGCTCTACCAAAAGGTAATGATATGAACAGCCAGCCTAGTTTCTGTAGCCTGTTAAGTGAGTGCCTCACGGCGATATCGGTCGAATATTACTAAAACAGAAGTAAAACCCTACTCACCAACTGGTTTCTGCACTTTAATATGTAGTTAGTTAACATGTCATCTTGTTCGTTCGTTCGTTCGGTTGTGTGTTTTGGTTTTTAACGTCGTTCTCTGCACAATCCCAGCTTTATGACTGGGGTATGTAAATATTTGAGTAGATCAGACAATGCAGTGATTCACACCATAAGATTGTTTTACGCAATTGGGATACGATGAGGTGAAGTGAAACATCCCAGGCGCCCAGGCCCATCAACTCCCCTCCCCTCCCTAGGTCATTCCCTTCGAAATGTAAATACAGGCTTACTGAGAACAAAAAATGGATTTTGTTTGATTTGTTAATAATGTTTAAGGTCATAATGATAACCCACATTAGAGTTTCAGATTTCCAGATTTCAATAAGATCTTAGTGGTAACATAACCTCTGGTCTATTCTTAAATTGTGAAACGTGCACCTCATTAAAGGCACACTGAAACAAAAGACAGCTTCCCCATCATTCGCACATGCACCCACCTTCCTTCTTTTTTAAGACGCCTAATATTTTTACCTGAAATTTGTAAATTCTAAAACTAAGCCTAGATAAAAGTCTATATACGACAGTTAAATTGTTTCCTCATAACCGAGAAGGATTACTCCCAAAGCCATTGCTCCTGGGTTAATCATTGATATAAAGTTTGACAGACACAGAAAGAGGGTCTTGACTGTCACTTGCCTGGACCGACAAAACCGATTTGTTTGCCTGCCACACCCGAAACTGACTGTACACATATACATTAATGGCCACAATGTGTTGTTATGTGCCATTTCGTAGTTCAGGAGTCGGGAAATATATTCATATTTCTAAATTTACTACATGTATTCACAGCTAACAATATATCAAACCCTTACTACGGTATAGCACGTATTTTGATTTGTATATTAACAATATGTATGCTTTACATTAAACACTTGCATTGAAATCCTTTTTCCTTACTCGATAGTTCAAGACATCACTCTTTAATGAACACTACAGGTTAAGTTCTATTAGCTATATACAGTATTTGATAACGCCACTATTGCTGTATGAGCGGTTAACACTGTTTGTACATCGTTGTGTGTTGTACTGTGCAAACCGTTCAACATTCGCCCAGCTTTGACTAGATCGGTGTGTGTGTTGTACAATGCAAACTTGACGAGATCACTGTGTGTGTTGTAGTGTGTAAACTTCAACATTCGCCCAGCTTTGACGAGATCACTGTGTGTTTTGTAGTGTGTAAACTTCAACATTCGCCCAGCTTTGACGAGATCACTGTGTGTGTTGTAGTGTGTAAACTTCAACATTCGCCCAGCTTTGACGAGATCAGTGTGTGTGTTGTAGTGTGTAAACTTCAACATTCGCCCAGCTTTGACTAGATCACTGTGTGTGTGTGTTGACCTATGCAAACTTCAACATTCGCCCAGCTTTGACGAGATCACTTTGTGTGTTGTAGTGTGTAAACTTCAACATTCGCCCAGCTTTGACTAGATCACTGTGTGTGTTGTAGTGTGTAAACTGTTCAACATTCGCCCAGCTTTGACTAGATCACTGTGTGTGTCAAGTCAAGGACTTTTCAATTCAAATGTTCTCAGCTAAAGACGCTTGTTATTTAGATTGCTTCTCGTAGATCTTCAAAGCAGCACATGCATTTCATTTTCTCGTTTACCTACGAGAATGATGCATAGCTTTCACTGAGTAGTTAGTGTGATGGAAACAAACACTTTGTATTCAACAGAAACACATTTTGTGTTAATATCCATACGACCACCGGTCTCCTGTCATTATTGCAAACTTCACCTAAGTAATAAATTACTTCATCATACCTTGAATTTGTTTTAATTGTTTTACAATGTCATATTTAAACATGTTGGTAAGATAAATTCGTTGTAGCAGGATCACTCGGGGTACAGGGGCTTTTATACGTCCCGCGTTAGGTTGTGTACCACGAGCCGGAGACGAGTGGTATTAAACCTAACGAGGAAAGCATAAAACCACATGTACGAGTACCCCTCTTGATCCTGCTACAACGTATGATATTTGTCCGCACCTTCCATATTCGTGTACAACCACACATAACTCGCTTTCGCTCGTTAAATACACATTTGGCTCAACAAGTCCACTTGAACAAAGTGGTGCTAACATACTTCATGTAAGTGGTAACATAACCCCTGGTACATTTCTAAATTGTGAAACATTCCCGCATTAAAGATACACTGAGAACATGGTCCTAGACATTGTCGTCCTAGGACATCTGTAAACGAAGAAACAAACCGTCTACACTACTTCCAGTTTGTGTTTTTTTATCCTGTGTATGTATACAGTGAAACTCGGTTAATCTTGACGGATAAATTCAAAATACAATCGTCCGAATGAACGCGTGATTATAGACTCATATGCTTCATTTAATTATATTAACGTTCCAAGAGCTTATCGCCCTGACGGCGAGTATATTTATTTCGGGATTATCGGCGTCCGGTATAACGAGGCCCGAAGTGATGCAGGTCTCAGACGTTTACCACTTCGGTGAAACCCACGAGCACGGGTATGGTGCTGACAAACCTAGAAACATATTCGGGGCGAACCGGGATTCGAACCCACAATCATAGGTTTCTGGCGTGCCCACGGGACGCAACTCTGCAAAGCGAATCGCGGCGCCTTAGACGACTGGGCCACCCGTGCCCCCAGTTCCTGAAGAAGCTGATCACTTTTGTTTATTGTCACTCGACATCTGTCATACACTTAGGAGATAAACCTACTGTGTTTTGACATTTGATGTAGTCCCACTGTAAAGTAGATACCTTTTATTTTAATTTTGAACCGAGCGCTTTTAGCATATCGTCACCAACACATCCGTAATCAAGCTATCGTATTTCCTCTATTAGGCCGTCTTTTAATTTCGCGAGAGCCATTGACTTGGCATGTATTAGAAACCTGGCTTGTATTGGAGACCAAGCGCGTAATAGAGGAAATATAGATACGTATTACGGTTCATATGTTAGTGATCGATCGGCAGCCATTTTTATGAATCGATATGTAGGCTATCGATGAATCCATACGCTCGTTGTCTTTGTGAAAAGGCTTAATATAATTGAAAGGGGTTTTCGTAGCAAAAAGGAAACCTCTTTTTAACCAATCAGAATCAGGCATTCATCAATGTCATTGTGGAATACTAGATATTGACATTGGGATTAACAAGGTTATTACACCAACCGAGCGACATGCATGCATGTGTGTATGTGGCTTAAACTTCAGTGCTAACCCACTGAGATACCATCCTGCACTTTCATATCGATACCGTGTACCTATGACACAGTATACTGACTCCGAGTTGTCTGTCCTTACTTTACCCCATAATGCCGAGCGCCAGACAGGGAAACAGAAAGTACCATATTTTAGCGTCGTTTTGTATGACGCGGCCAGGGGATCGAACCATCAACCTTCCACTCTCTGCGAAGACGTTCTATCCACTACACTACGGAGATGCTTACATTGATATAGACATTGACTTGTTTGCAAATACTATTTGTCAAGCAGCGGACTGCACGATAACGTTGCCTTTACACAGTAAAGAACTATATGGATCTCACTGCAAATGATACGGATACGAGTGAATTCGTGAATAATATATTTTCCGCAATCATAAGAAATCTCTGTTAAAAGCAGAGTCCTTTATATAAATCCCTACCATATCATAAGCGGCTGTTTGTGAAGTTTCGAATAGTGATGATACCAGGTGTTTGCGAATCGGTAGGCGTATCGTGCGGAACTGACGGCACCCGTCACAAACACATGCAAAGGCAAGTCAATTGTTAAAAAAAAAAGCAGGAACGCATGGCACAAGTCAAAATTACAACATTTATATCACTGATGCGTCAAATTTAGAGTGAGTGAGTGAGTGAGTTGGGTTTAACGCCGCTTTTAACAGTCTTCCAGTTATATCACGGCGTTCAAATTTAGAAATTTCCTTCACAAAAAATCTTTTGAAAGTTTTTCCAATGCGTTGAATGTTGTAACTCGGATCAAACAACTTTTGAGGAAGAGTCAGTTGTATGGTGCTCTTTGAAATCATCTCCGTAGAAAGTGTATGCTCGATTGTACCTAAACAATTGTGACACATAGACATCAACGACCTTTTGGATACAATCGAGCATGCTGTTCCGTATCAGTGACAAAGAATCCCGATTTTGACTTGTAACAAATGTTCCCGTTTTCTTTTCAGGTGAACAGTTTACTTGACTTTGCATGTGTTTGTGACGGGTGCCACCGGTCGGGCAGGGCGCGCTTACCTTTTCGCGAACACCTGATATCATCATTGTTTGATAGTGATTCATAAACACATGCTCATGATATTTTCCGAATCGAACAATCGTCTCTGCTTTTAGCAGAGATGTCCTACGATGTTTCATGAATATGGAAAGAGTTGTGTCGCTTGTACTTACCCGTCCGTAAACAGGTACGTATGAGAAAAGTTTGACTCATGTTGATCAAAGGTGAAACAATGACCTCAGGTACGTCAACAAACGACCCATTAAGATTAGAATCAGGTCGGGGTAGAATAGGTCTTCAGCAACCCAAGCTTGCCGTAAAAGCCGACTATCCTAAAAGGCGACTAACGGGATCGGGTGGTCAGACTCACTGACTTGGTTGAAGCATGTCATCGTATCACAATTGCGTCGTCGGTCCGAACACTATCTACCGAAGTATTGTATAACCAACTTTAGACCCAAACTAAAAGTAGACATTAGGCCATTGTGACGTCACATCACTTTTAGACCCAAACTAAAAAAAATAGACATGAGATCATTTTGCTGTTCTAAGCAATTTTGAAACTGACAAATGTGATTACATTAGCAGCTTTGGGGATTTATTTAGAAAATCGAGTTGATTGTTGAAAAAGAATAAAAGTGTCAGTAGGAGAGAAACGTCAGCATATTTCCTATGTGTGGGTAGGAATTGACGAAGGGTGTGGATACTTACCACACTCGTGATATATTTTCAAAGCCAAAGATGTTTATTGAGTCAAGTAAAACGTTAGCGGACAAGAAGTATCTTTTGTTTGTACACTCAAAACAGTTCTCCGTGTACAGGACATTTTGTTAACACTTAGATATCCAGGACTTTATGCACGTCTAGTTACATACATACACATACACATGATGTCTTTATTAACAAACGCTAGAATGAAAGGGTTTGGGCTGTCGATACTATTTTCATTTTGATGGAAATGCAGACGTAGTAGGTGTGGCTAAACAGTATTTTTTACAAAGTTAAATTTTACAACTCAGATTCTTTTGCAAATGACATTTTTCTCAATATAGATTCATGAACTGTACAAGCTGGTGATATTACGAAACCTATTTTAGCACACCATGTCATTCTATAGATGCTGAGAACAGCACAATGATCTCATGTTTATTTTTAGTTTGGGTCCAAAAGTGTTGTGACGTCACAATGACCTCATGTCTATTATTAGTTTGGGTCTATGGTGGGTTATACACAACCTGTCTCCCTTGGGACAAGTATAAGTGAAAGAAATCACGCGACACCATAGCTACGTGCAACATTCGTAGGCGTCAGTCACCTTTCGGTTCATTTGCTTAACCGTTTAGGCATGACCAGGTATATTTCGTGTCGGAAATGTTAGGCCCCAAATCTTTAAAAAATTGCAATTGATGATGTATTGTTTTTTTTTACACCAAACCACAATTATGACCTCATGCTATTGTTATAATTGATTCTCGTGGAACATTACCCACCACTTTTCCGGTGTAATGTCTGTTAAACATACGTGTAGTCTATTGTCCTGTCACATTTCAAATTGTATTTCCCATACGACAGGGACCTAGTCAAGGAGATACACTTATACCTCATCAATTAGAGCTCTATGTGTTAGTTGTTCTCATCCGCAGTCAAGACACCAATTGTTTCAGGCATTTAACATTAGTCGGGGAGATACACATCATGGTACCTGACCAGTGACACAACTACACAGTGACTGTCATCAGTCTAACTTTTCAGTTCTACACAATGTTGTATTCCACTGCTCTTGTGTTATTCGGGCACATATGTATCATCGCTGCTGCTTCAAGCTCAGGTAAGGGCATTACCGTTTATTGTACAACCGAATAAATAATGGAATTCCTATGACAAAATGGGTTATTTGAATAGCAGTAGTAAAGCGAATTTGAATTAAGGTAAATTCGGTTGTATATTATATAAGAGTGGTTTCAGAGTTGTTCAACTTAATTAAATTGCGGTGCATTCCAATTATGATGTTCCACGAACTCGAATGTAATGTCGAGTGTATGCAATACCATATAATTGAATTAACCACGGCCAACCATGTCTAGTGTTTAGTAAACTGGAAAACAGATCATAGGGTGCAAAATCGAGTATGAGTTAACCTTGGGAAATTGATACTTCACTGAATGCATCAACTGAAAATAGCAACACATTCCAGGCTGATAGAAAATGGTGTTTTTAAACAGGAACTGGTTAGTACATTGCAACTGGTGTATCTGAAATGGGGGAATGACACTTAAGCGTCTGCCGCTGCCAATGTCGTCTCTCCCGGTGTGTAATGAGTGAGTGATTGAGTTTGGTTTAACGCCGCTTTTAACAGTATTCCAGTTATATCGCGGCGTGTCAGCTTAATGTGGGAGGAAAGCCCGAAGTGATGCAGGTCTCAGACGTTTACCACTTCGATGAAACCAACGAGCACGGGTATTGTGCTGACAAACCTAGAAACATAATCGGGGCGAACCGGGATTCGAACCCACAATCATAGGGTTCTGGCGTACCCAAGGGACGCAACTCTGTACAGTGAATCGCGGCGCCTTAGACGACCGGGCCATCCTGCGTGTGGTCGCCAAAGACCCGGGTTCGATTCCCGACATGTGAAGCCCATTTCTGGTGTCCCCCGCCGTGATATTGCTAAAAGCGGCGTAAAACCATACTCACTCACTCACTCCTGCGTGTGGTGAGCGTCTAAAGCCTACGTCACTTCGAGATTTTATCTTACAGCTGATACATTTTAATGTCACTGAATAATTGTCCAAAACATTAATCCCAAATCACACACCGGCTGGATCGCTGTGCGTATATTTAGGACATTACGCACTAACAGAATGTGTGCAGGTATTATTCAAACACATGGTGGTAGATGTTTAGCTCTCAAGACGTGTTAAAATCCTAAAAGGATGAAAGGCTGACTGTGTTTAAAGCCAAATACCATTTTTAATACCAAAATATAGACTGACTGTTTCTGAGAGTGTTGGGAGCTTTTTATCCCCCGCCACGAAGTGGAAGGGGGGTATAGAAAATGGGTGCTGTCCGACCGTCTTTCCGTCCTTCTGTTTCTGGAGCAGAACTCAGAAACGATGAGAGTTATCTTAACCAAACTTGGCACATAGATAGGTGTGGTGGTGAACTGGTGCCTTTTGAAAGTTTTCTTTTTCAAAAAATTATTTTTTGCGTTTCCATAGCAACGACTTTGACTTAGACTGAAAATGGCGGTAGTGCTCTTTTCTTGAGAAGGCAACATGTATAGTTTTGTCAACTCATTTCACATGCTTCCCAAGCTGTTTCTGATCTGACGGTGATTTCATTTTCAATATACGTTCAGCAAAGATATAATTGTCAAGAGTGACTGTATTTCAGGACACATGATCATATTCATCAGCAGATGACATTGTTCTCAATATAGATTCATGAACTGGACAATGTGCTGATCTTACAAAACTAATTTTAGCACACCATGTCATTCTATAGATGCTGAGAACAGCACCATGATCTCATGTCTTTTTTTCGTTAGGGTCCAAAAGTGTTGTGACGTCACAATGACCTCATGTCTATTTTTAGTTGGGTAAATTTCTTGTCGGAAATGTTACGCCCCCAAATTTACAATCATTGCAAATGAGGATGTATTATTTTCGGACATTAAACCCATTATGATGACGTCATGCTATTGTTGCTGCAATTGATTCTCCTGGAAGATTAACGACCACTTTCCGAGTGTAATGTCTGTTGAACATGTAGTCTATTGCCCTGTCCCTGTGAGTGCCGGTGTGTGTAATATATTCATGTAGCTAAAACACAGGATTTCTCTCATTTAGAACGCAATCAAATAAATCCTGAAACCCTAGCTCTGCCGCTATACCATATATTGTGATTGTGCTAGCATTCGACGTAATTTTCCAATCTGAAGAAAACAGAGTGAGTGAGTTGGATGGGTTTAACGCTGCTTTTAACATTATTCCGGTTATATCACGGCATGTCAGCTTAATGTGGGAGGAAAGCCCCAAGTGATGCAGGTCTCAGACGTTTATCATTTCGGTGAAACCCACGAGCACGGGTATGGTGCTGACATACCTAGAAAAATAATCGGGGCGAACTGGGATTCGAACCCACAATCAAAGGTTTCTTGCGTGTCCAAGGGACGCAACTCTGCACAGCGAATCGGGGCGCCTTAGACGACTGGGCCACCCCTGCCCCCGGATAAAAAGGAAATGACCGGACAGAATTGCTGCTAGTTATGTCTTGATTGAACAAGTTTTTACTTGTCCAGATGACGTCACAAAAACGTCTCTGATTTTGCACGTGATTCTTGAATGTGATATTTTCTGCGGTTGTTGTGATCCAGCGAGAAGGACTTCTGTTGTAATGCAACTTAGCTTGGCGGCAATGTGATTCTGGGTATCATCAGCCAAGCGGTGGAAATGTATGCTGTGGCGTCGGAAAATGTCCCCGAGGGAAATCATGCACATGGTGAAAAGGAGTGGCTCCAGCACGGATCCTTGCAGGACTCCACGGGACAGCTTGCTTGGTTCGGAAGGACTTTTACAAGCTGTCACACTGGGATCGAAGATGCAAATAAGACTCCAATTACGCTGAGCCTGTACCCGAGATACCAGAACGCGTTCTCAGCGCCTTTAGAGGTATTAAATCTAGCGTATCGAAAGCGGCTGACAGATCTAGAAGAACAAGTATGATAGCCTAATGCTTGTCCATGAATGACAGGATCTCATTCTCGGCAGTCTCGGTACTGTGGACACTTTTATAAGTGTTCTTTATTGTTGTTTTATTCCAGTGGTATTCGCGGCTGATAGGCCACTACCTTCTACATAACCTTTGATAAGAAGGACAAGAAAGACACTGGCCCAAGTTAGGATTCCGGATTTTGTGAAAATTTGTGTTCCGCTTATGTGTTTACAGTGGTTAGTTAATTTGTTATCTGTTTGGCTCTCTATTTTAGAAAGATGTGTGCTTTTTGGAAATTGAAAATGAAAATTGGAATAAACCCATTCTATCCAAGCCAGCTGTCATCCGAAATCTAGCCCACATACAAGTTGGTAGTTGGTCCTCTGACACGGCCTCAAATAACAAAACCATTAAATGTAAGCATCAGTACATTAATTGCTTGAGTAAAAAACAAATAATGCCACAAATGTGAGAACAGTATGTTAACTGAGGAAAAAATCTGCCAAAACCATAAGTGCTGTCAACTTAACTTACTTAAAACTTACTGAGAAAACTGGATTTTATCATTTATAGCATCTTTGTGAAATTTGGGGGTAAGAAATTCAGCCGAGAATTATGCATCCTGTGGGACCCATTGTGCTCCCCTTCTTGCTGGTATATTTTTATGCATATGAATCGGAATAGTCAACGTTCCCTTTATGTTGAGCTATATTCCGGTAACTCCAGCCTTTGGTGTGTACATTTCACAACGTTTGAGGTACATTCTAGCAAACGAAGATTACAAAGAGCATCATACAAATTTTGCTCAAAAGTTATTTGATGGGAGTTACAACACTCAAGGCCTAAGTGAAGCCTCAGTGTTACAACAATGTTCCTGTGTGTTTTCTTCAGGTGAACAATTGACTTGCCTTTGCATGTCTTTGTGACGTGTTTCACCGGTGGTCAGGATATGCTCACCTTTTCGCGAACAACAGATATCATCACTATTTGATAGTGATCCATTAACGCATGCTTATGATATAGTCGGAATCGGACAATCGACTCTGCTTTTAGCAGAATATTTTTACGATTGAGGAAAGGGTCTTGTTGCTTTTATTGACCCACAACATGTTCATAAAATATGGACTCATGCTTAGAAAATTAGCTGTTATACTACTACAAAGGTTTAACACACTCACATAACCGGTTACAAATGACAGTGTCAAAACCAAGGGCTTCCGCTGTATTTATCAAAACGAAATATATAACAACCCCAAGAGAACCAAGGGCTTAAATATTTTGTAGATATCATTGAAACATATGATTGATGGTTTTTTTAAAGGCAGTATTATCTTTTTATCTTCAATCTTGAAATTGCAAACACACAATGATGAGGCTGAAGTAGTGAAAGGTTTCTCTGCCATCGCCGCATTAATTCCTGCACGTCAGCCGTGTTTATTTGCCTAAAATGTACTTCCTGCACTATAAAATGACTCTGACATTGTCTTAAAGAGCCGAGTTCAAAGTGTATCCAGTTGTGTTTGCTATGTATTCCTAAAAGTTCTCGGCCAAATTCCCTTGTTTTTATTTCCCCAATTCAAGAAAGTTTTTTACTCTTATGCATAAAGAAGCAGATCAGTATGGGGATGCTTACTTAAATGTCCCATCCTTAAATGTTACATTGTTGTGATCGATGAGGAAGTCTTGAATTGCACATATTGTTTTCTACGTAAATGACATTTTCTTTCATTTTTGACAAATTGTCCCGAATCATTCATGACAGAGATGTACCTATTTATATTGGCTATCCCACACGATTTTGTAAACAATGTTAAATGTGTGTAGGCCCCAAAGGTATTTACAGGACAAGTAACGCTTTTATGTTTGTGTTTAAAATAAAACAAGAAGACAAAGTCATCGCCATTATGAATGATGACTAAATCCACTCACTCATTCACTAGGTGGATGTAGGGTGATCATGTGGTGAGCATGCTAGCTTGACGAAGAGGTAATGCGTTCGATTCTGTGATAAAACCATTCTATGGTTTCCCTATTACTTGGTTAATTTAGTATTGTGTAAGTTATTCCCATCAGAGACAATAAACTAATATTTGGAAGCTAGACATATATTCATGT